TCACGGTTTCGTGGGTTCGAGCCCCACAGTGGGCTGACAGCTCAGAGGCTGGAGCCTGTTTCAGATTCTGTGTCTCCCTCTCTCTCTGCCCCTCCCCAGCTTGTGCTCTGTCTCTCTCTCTGTCTCAAAAATAAATGTTAAAAAAAATTTTTTTTAACTTTAAAAAAAAAAAGAAAATATCTTGAGACAAATCAACAGGCAGACACAACACACCAAAACTTATGTGATGTATTAAAAGCAGAACAAAGAGGGAAGTTCACAGGTATAAACACGTACATCGAAAAAGATTTCACATCAACAACATAGCTTTACATCTCAACGAACTAGAAAAAGAACAAACAACTAAACCCAAAGTTGGCAGATGGAAGGAAATAATCATAATTACAACAGAGATAAAGTAGGGAATAGATAAAACCCAACAGGGGCACCTGGGTGGCTCAGTCATTAAATGTCTGACTTCGGCTGGGGTCATGATCTCACAGTTTGTGAGTCTGAGTCCCACGTCAGGCTCGCTGTCTTCTGCTGACAGCGAGAACCTGGAGCCTGCTTTGAATTTTGTGTCTCCCTCTCTCTCAGCTCCTCCCCTGCTCTCTCTCTCTCTCTTAAAAATAAACATTTAAAACAAAATTTTTTTAAAGAAAAAAACCCAACAAAAGAGTTGGTTGGGTTTTTGGAAAGATCAATAAAATTGACAATCCCTTAGCTGAATTAAGAAAACAAGATAAAAGACTCAGATATTTAAAATCACAAATGAACAAGGGACATTACAACTAATGCCACAGAAATAAAAAGAATCATAAGAGAATACTATGAACAATTACAGGCCAAAAAATTGGATAATCTACAAGAAATGGTAATTTCCTAGAAATATATAAACTACCAAGACTGAATCAAAGCAAGAGAAAGTCTGAACAGACCTGTAACTAATAAAGAGATTGAATCAATAATCCAAAACCTCCCAGCAAAGAAAATCTAGGACCAGATGTCTTCACTGGTGAATTCTGCCAACGATTTAAAGAAGTTATGAATGCCAATCCTTCACAAACACTTCCTAAAAGTTGAAGAAGTAAAAATACTCCCAAACTGATTTCATAAGGCCAGCATTACGCTGATGTCAAAGCCTAAGAAAGACATTACAAGAAAAGAAAACTATAGGCTACTATCCTCGATGAATACAAATGCAAAAATCCACAACAAAATACTAGCAAACTGAATTTAACAGTACATTAAAAGGATCAGACACCAGGACCAAATGGAATTTACCCTCAGGAGACAAGGAGGCTTCAATTAATACAAAAATCAATCAATGTACTATACCACATTAACAGAATGAATAAAAACCACTTAGCCATTTCAATCGATGCAGAAAACGCATCTGACAAAAAAGCATCTGACTGAACACACTTTCATGATAAAAACACTCAATTAAAAACAGAGAACTACCTCAACATAATAAAGGTCATATATAAAGAGTCCACAGCTAGCAACTCAGAAAGCTTTTCCTCTAAGGTCAGAAACCAGGTAAGGACGCCTACACTCAGCATTTACAACCAAAATAGTATTAAAGCCCTGGCCAGAGCAATTAGGCAAGAAAGCAAAATAAAAGCCATGTTAATTAAAAAGGAGGAAATAAAAAGATCTATTTGCAAATGATATCATCTTACATGCAAAAAAAGACTTAAGAGTATACATACACACACACACAAAAAGTGTTAAAATGGTATCAGGAAAATTGCAGGATATGAAATCAACACACTAAAATCAGTTGTGCTTCTACTCACTAACAATGAACAACCTGAAAAGGCAATTAAGAAAACAAGTCCATTTATAACAACATCAAAAAGAATAAAATACTAAGAAAAAACCTAACCAAAAGGTGACAGACTTGTACTCTGAAAACTACAAAACACTGGTGAAAGAAATTAAAGGCAGCAAAAAAGTGGAAAGACACCCGATGCTCATAGGTTGGAAGATTTAATATAGTTATACGTCCAGGGGCACCTGAGTGGCTCGGTTGGTTAAGCACCCAATTCTTGATTTTGGCTCAGGTCATGAGCTCACGGTTCAGGAGATCAAGCTCTGCGTCGGGCTCTGTGCTCACAACCTGGAGTCTGCTTGGGATTCTCTCTCTCTCTCTCTGCCCTTCCCCACTTATTCCGCCTGTACCCTCTCTCTCTCAAAATAAATATTTTAAAAAAAAAGATGTCCATATTACTCAAAGTAATCTACATATTCAACACAATCCCTATTAAAATGACAATGGCATTTTTTTATGTAAAAATAGGAAAAATTCAACCTAATACACATGTGGAATCTCAAGGGACCTCAAATAGCCAGAACAATTTTGAAAAAGAAAAATCAAGTTGGAGATCTCACACTTCCTTACTTCAAAATATATTGCAAAGCCACATGAATCAAATAGTGTGGAACTGGCCTAGAGGCTGATACATAAATAAATGGGATACAATAAAGAGTTCAGAAATAAACCCTTGCTTATACAGCCAAGTGATCTTCGATAAGGGTGCCAAAATCACTTAATGGGGAAAAGACAATCCTTTGAACAAATGGTATTAGGAAACTGGATTTCCACACTCAAAAGAGAAGTTGAACCCTTATTTTACACCAAATAAAAAAGTTAGCTCAAAAGGGTTGATAAAGACCTAAACGTTAAGATCTAAAACCGTAAAACTAGAAGAAAACAGGGGGAAAGCTTCAAGACATAGAATTTGGCAAAGATTTATTGGTTATGACACCAAAATTACAAGCAAAAGGAGATAAATGGGACTATATCAAACTTCAAAACCTTTTGCACATCAAAGGACACAGTCAACAGAATGATATGGCAGCCTACGGGATGAGAGAAAATACTAACAAATCATATGTCTGATAAGGGGTTAACATCCACAACATGTAAGAACTCCTACAACCCAACAACAACAAAAATCAAGGAGCCCAATTTAAAAATGGCCCAAGGACTTGAATAGACATTTCTTCAAAGATAATGTACAAATGACCCACAAGTATATGAAAACATGCTCAACATTACTCATCACGAAAGGAATGCAAATCAAAACCACAATGAGGGGCACCTGGGTGGCTCAGTCGGTTAAGCGTCTGACTTCCTCAGGTCATGATCTCACAGTTCATGAATTCGAGTCCTGCACCAGGGCTCTACACTGACGGTACGGAGCCTGCCTGGGATTCTCTCTCTCTCTCCCTCTCTGCCCCTCCCCAACTCACAAGTGCACATACTCTCTCATTCGCTCTCTCTCTCAAAAATAAATAGAGTAAAAACAAACCAAAAAAACCCCTTAGAGGGGTACCTGAGTAACTCCATTGGTTAAGCATCCAAGTTCGGCTCAGGTCATGATCTCGCGGTTGGTGGCTTCGAGACCCCCATCGGGCTTTGTGCTGACAGCTCAGAGCCTGGAGCCTGCTTCAGATTCTGTGTTTCCCTCTCTCTCTGTCCCTCCCCTGCTCATGCTCTGTCTCTCAAAAATAATAAAAATAAACACTAAAAAAGAAAAAAACTTAGAAACCACAATGAGAATATTACATCACACTCTCTAGGATGGCTACCATCAAAATAAGTAACTGTTAGAAAGGATGTGAAGAAATTGGTACCCTTGTATAGAGTGGGTGGGATTGTAAAATAGTACAGCTGCTAGCGGAAACAGTGTGGAGGTTCCTCAAAACATTAAAAAAAAAAAAATAGAACTGCCGTGTGATCCAGCGATCCCACTTCTCCATTCTTCTCTAAAAGAAATTTTTAAAAGAATCTTGCATATACACTTGCATTTCCATGTTCACGGTAGCATTATTCATAGCAGCCAAGAGGCGGAAGCAATTCAAATGTCCGCTGATGATGAAAAAGAAAATGTGGCGCCTACATACAATGGAATGTCATTCAACCTGGAATAGCATTTAACTTAAAAGAGGGAGGAAACAGCATTTAACTTAAAAGAGGGAGGAAACGCTCCAACATGAACGAGAATCTTGAGGAGAGGACACAGCAACATAAGCCAGCCACAAACAGACAAATCCTGGCCAATTTCGCTTACAATAAAGAACCTGAAGTTGTCAGATTAATGGGAACAGAAAACAGAATGGTTATTAGAGACTAGGGTGAGGAGGAAGAGCTAGTAAATGGATATAGCTGCAGGTCTGCAAGATGAAAAAGTTCTGGGGGTGAGTATAGTTAACACCACTAAAGTATATACTTAAAAACGGTTAAGATGATAAATTCGGGATTATTTTCAGCACAATTTTTAAATGTAGTTTTAAAATCTTAGCCTTGTTAAGCACTGACCCAGGAATTGTACAAGAAATGACTTTCCAACACAAGACACTTTCAGGTCAGTGGTAACAGAGAACTGCCTGCACACCTACCTTTACCTGCAGGGCAGAGGCGGTGCCGCGATGTCACAGCAGCTGACCGGCCTGGCCGGCTCCGGTGTTCTCTGGTGTTCCAGGGGGAGCCCAGGCGCGGGGAAGGGGAGGGTCGCGGTGAAAGGGAGAGGTGCGGTGTTCCCTGTGGGGGTGGGGGGGAGCCCAGGCACCGTGAAGGGGAGAGGCGCATCCACAGCTACACGCTTGCAGCACAACGGATCCACTGCAGGGAGACTCTTCTGAACAAGTCTGCCAGCAACCAAGAGCTGAGAGAGCCTTCCAGAGAGAATCTGGCCCTCCCTGGCTTCCCTTAGTGTCCTGCCAGGAAAGCGGAAACACGTGGAGACCGGGAGTAGGACGGAAGAGGCGAGGCCATCGGTGGTAGAAGCAAACGCACAGATTTAAGACCCCTCCCCCCCCTTTCTGAGACTTAGAAGGAAGGGCTATTTACTAGTGAAAGACATAAATAAATTCTCCGGGGAGGGGGCGGGTAGATGATGAGGAAGAGAATGAACAGAAAGCAATGCTTTGAGGCCTGGGGCAAGGGAAGAGGCTTGGGCTCCAAACTCCATCTCCCCTTGTTCATTTCCTGAAGCCGATTCAAAACGAAATGAAGTTGATTCTCAGTTTATTGTTAAGTCTTCTTTATTTACAGTATAAGTGTCCAAAAGGTCAAGGCAGTTTTCTCTCTTAAATAACATGTCATATAAAACAGCTAGAACCAAAGTAGAGAAATATATACAATATAATACATTAAGTATTTTCAATATTGTTAATTGAATTTTTCATATTAAATTAAAAGGATATTATGATTTACAATGTCATTTCTCTAGTTAAAATTAAACCTGTCAAAAGACATAATGTACATTTTTTTACAAAACCAGCACAGCAGCATTAATAAAACTGCTCATGATTGTAATCTTTATTTTTCTATAATACACTGCACCCGTGTTACAAAAACAAACAAACAAAAAGGCATTGCACTAGATGGTCTGAATACTGCAGAAGTCAGTATGTTAACACTTGAGGACTAATGAATGGCCTGACTTGTTCCCCTCCAGGCTCATTCACAGGAGTTTCACTCCAGTAGCTAAGCAAACTTTCTACAGGTAGATTACTTTTCCTTGGCAGCTTTATACAAGCCTACTGCTAACAGGTAAAATGCCAAGGAAACACTGATGCCACCAAAACCAATACGACCCTATTTACAAGACCCCATAGAAGCCGAAGCTAGAAAACCACTCACGACTGGATCAAGGAAAGAATTATCAGCAGCATATTTTGTAGGAAAGTTCGAAGGTCTACAAATTTAAATTATTCAACAGACTACAAAAGGGCTTGCAATTGCTGATTCCCCTTATTTTTCTCAGGCTTAGGTAAGAAAAAAGGAAATCTTTTTTTATTGTTCCATAAAGTTTTGATGGCATCAACAACCTTCACATTTATAAGTAAGATTTTTATACAATGCAACACATTCACACAGTTATCTTGTGCTACTATCAGTCGTTCTCAGGGTTCATGTTTTAGTCTAAGGAAGAAAAGTATTCAGATTTCTTCCTCAGTCTTCACTTTTCAACATTAATATCCTCCAAGCCTCAAAAGGGAATTCAAGAGAGGCGAGCAGTCATTCAATGCTTACCACTGAAGAGCACGCGATTTGAAACACCTTATATATATACGGTAGTGGCCTCAAGAAAGCAGCAGGGGCTGAGGGCATATTGTTCTACCACTCACAACAAATTAATTTCCCTTTCATTAAGACAGTTTTAAAAGGACAGGTTACCCTTGCAAGGCAGCAAGCGTTGCTTCAAGATTATATTATCCTGGAATTTTTTCAGCCACAAAATTATCTAAGAGGCAGAGTGCTTTACAAAATAATTCTACAAGTCATGAGAAAGACAAACAAAAATCAACATGACACACTGCTGCAGGAGTTATTCCAGGGAGGATTCAAGCTGCACATACACAGAATGTTGAGACTAAAACTGAGAAACCACCTAATTACAGCAGAGGGAAGATACCTTCTGGTGAGTCCGGGACTGAAATGGACAAGAGAAACACTCCTAAGTATCCTGACAGAAAAAAAGGAACAGAGACAAAACGTGTTTACATTCAGAAAGAGAGGCACCATCCATTGTTCCTGGACTCACAAGAAGTTAAGAATGTTCCACCATCTCTCCTGTGAGTCAGTCCTTTCCTCTAAAACTAAAACCACCCCTGTTCTGTATGTTTTCAAAAGGCACACCCATGGGTTGTTGTTGTTGTTGTTGTTGTTTAAAGTGCTTATCATCAGTTCTAAGTCCTTGGGCAACTTGTTTCTACTTCAAAACAAACCGCATTTCCAATAAGCACCAAACACCAAACTAATGCTTTCCTTCTCTAAAGCAAATTTTCCAAAACGTTCCTATTTCACATACGTTTAAGTCTCTGTAACTGGAATGTACCCAGATTCCTTTTTCTTGTTTTGTGACAGTTACAACAGAAATGTGCTGTCACAGGAAAGCTGGAAAGGAAGAGAACTTTATATAAAACTTTATAAACCCCCAAAGTATCCTTATTAATAAGGGAAAGAAGCCACAAGGAAATATTTGGCATTCTGTTATTTGCTTAAAGACAGTTAGTTTAGTACTCTATCTGCTCATTTTTTAAACAAAAACTCTGCTAAACAAGTTCCTTACTGTAAATACTTTATCTCTTAACATTTCTCAATAATCAGAACTGGCCTAGAAACTGGCACAGAAAGTAAAGAAACAGGTGTGTCCACCCTAGAAACCTGTTAGTTTTATAGATGCCACTTAAACTATTTGCATTGAAAAAGACACTTTACCTTTACAAAAAACAAGCAAGTGTCTACGTCTACCTCTCACCCAATTTCTTGGATAAGGTCTAATTCATTTTTTACATTAAAAACATCCTTAGTAATCCTCCCTTTGGGAATTTAGTCACTACAGACTCATTTACTATCTCCCTGAAAGTGGAGGAAAACCTAGAAGATGAGCAGGTGCAGATAAGGGTACGTGAACATATTAACTGCAAAAAAGTTATAAACAAGTTTTTAAAAAAGCTCCAAAAGAAGGCTTCGACGTAATAACTACGGTCTCACCCAGAGAGAAGAGAGAACCGAAACGACATGGAGCACGCTCAAAACCAGAGCAAGATAAGAACACACAACAGGATTCCCAAGTTAAGTCAAACTCCTCAATAAAACAAGAACAGATTGTGTCAATCTGTTGGACTGGCCATTAATAGTATAATTTGGAATTTTTTTAAAGATTTCCGAAATTCTGATAATACATAACATAATACACAGTTACATAAGAAACACAAAACAAAGTCACCAGCTCTACAAATGCTTTCTAAGTAAAGAATGTGTCCAAAGTGGTGCCAGGAAAGTCACCATCTAGGAGATATTATTTTCTTAACAGCATTGTTAACAAGTCTGACAACACATTTTTTTACCTCGTCTCATCTCTGACCACACATTTGTCTTTAGCCCTTTGAAATGGGTCTATATTTTCACTTAAGTGGAAAAATGTTCATGGAACCTCCTGGCCTAAGGACGGCTAATTGGTAGGTATCAAAAGCAAAGTGCAAATCCATGGAGTTGGAACCCCTTAGTTACACAGAGCCCACACAACCACAGAACGGAAAGGCCTTGGCATACAGTGGTGAATAATGAAGAAATAAAACGTGTAGCTTATTTTTGGTCCTTTGTTCCAGGCCCCTTTACATTCACGGTCCATTTCAGCAGTTGAGACCTAAGCCTGTCCAGTGGTCTGGTACCATCAGAAAATACTTGTCCATTGCTTCGCAAAATCTAGTCCTGTACAGCTCTGGGGAGACCACAGTGGGCATTTTACCTAAGATTATGAAAGAGCACAGAGAAAAAGGTGTTACATAGTTGATCAGCAACTGATGTGAACAACGACGTTCTTTCATGAAACCTGCCATGAAGACACACACACCACAGCAGTCTCAGAAAGGAGAGAGGGGTGTTCACTGTGCCACATGACATGGGACAGGTCTTTCCTGCTAGGGGCTTCCATTTTTAAAAACTACCTCTTGCCTAGAGATGTATGAAAGCACAAATGGAGCTAGCAGTGCTCAGAGAACTTCGAAGATTCAAGCATTAATTAAAGACAGCCTCTTATTCAGAATCTCTGGCCTTTTTTGGGTAACTTCTCAACTTGAGAACCCCTGGCACGTTAACACAAATTTAAAGCCAATCATTTCCCCACCTATGTAATTCCTTTTATTATTTGATGATATGGGAAATGAGAAAATCAGAGATAACCACTTACTTTCTTAGAATTTAAGAAAGTAACCATTTTTTATCTTTAGGTTTATTTTTAAATTTTTTTTATTTTAGAGAAAGATTGAGCATGAGCAAGGAGAAGAGCAGGGGCGGGGTGGGGGGAGGGAGAGAGGGAGAGAGAGAGGGGTAGAGCGAGAGAACCTTAAAAAAGCTCCATGCTCAGCACAAAGCCTGACACAGAACTTAATCCCACAACCCTGGGATCATGGCCTGAGCTGAAATCAAGAGTCAGATAGATGCTTGAGGCGCCTGGGTGGCTCAGTCGGTTGAGCATCTGACTTTGGCTCAGGTCATGAGCTCATGGTTTGGCAGCTGAAGCCTCGTGTCAGGCTCTGTGCTGACAGCTCAGAGCCTGGGCTGCTTCCGATTCTGTGCTTCCCTCTCTCTCTGCCCTTCCCTGCTCGTGCTCTACCTCTCAAAAATAAATAAATGTTAGGGGCGCCTGGGTGGCTTAGTCGGTTAAGTGTCCGACTTTCGCTCAGGTCATGATCTCGCGGTTCGTGGGTTCGAGCCCCGCGTCGGGCTCTGTGCTGACTGCCAGCTCAGAGCCTGGAGCCTGTTTCAGTCTGTGACTCCCTCTCTCTCTGAACCTCCCCTGCTCACGCTGTCTCTCTCTCTCTCTCCTAGAAATAAATAAAAATATTTAAAAAATAAATAAATAAATAAATAAATAAATAAATGTTAGAAAATTAAAAAAAAAAAAAGTCAGAGGCTCAACTGAGCCATCCAGGTGCCCCAAAAAAGTATCTATTTTTTAAACGTTAACTGATAAGGAAGACAGAAGAATAGTTTAAAGACTAAACAAAACTTCTGCTCACCTTGTCCTCCTAAAATTCCTGTTGATTTCACAACCATTTCAAGCTTTTTGTCCCATGTAAACGTTCGAATATAATCTGTTACAGGAGGCAATATTGGCAGTAAAGTACGTTAGTAAGTATAAGAAAATAACAACAGTAATTACTATTACTTCTAACATGTTTACTCAGTGCTAATGATACTGCCAGGTGCTGTCCCCAAGGTCTGTCTCTGTATATTAATTCACTCAATCCTCATAACAACTTCAAAGGGCTTCATTTCAAAGTAACTTTTTCAATAGATTATTTTTGGTAAAGATAAGTGAAAATGAAACTGAGGACACAGAATAAAGGTAATTAGAATTTAAACGCTAGTGGTTTTGAATTTTCAAATGATAGTTTGTGAAAATGTCTAATAAGCTATTACTAGACTGGGCTGAGTATAATCTTCATATATACTCTGGCTTCAGTCATGAACCAGAAGGTATGCTTTCCGACTTACCTATAATTCCGACTACCAGCTCATTGCTAGTATCATCTCGTCCAACCAGCAGAGAGTAATCTATAATAAGGTGGCTAGAAAGGAAGTGGGAGTCACTGCGGATCGAGGCCCTCAGCACAGCTTTGGAATGAGAACGGATATACAGGGGGTTGTCTCGAACCATCTTTAAGAGATTTTCATCCAGCAGGACCACATCACAGCTCTCTTTCCCAGTATCAGTTTTTACATTCCTATTCCTAAGTGAACCCTTCAAATCAAAAACCTAGCAGAAAGAAAACTTTCTGTTATTTATGCATGAGTTGTGCAATTAATTAATTAAATTGGAAATGCAGAAAGATTCCTTATAGCCCATACCATTATATACACTGTTAAATTTAATTTTAAAACTTAATCATAACTTATGTAAGTCATTAAATGCATACATTATAATGGCTCAATACATAAAATAAGTGGTGATATGATTCATCATTGAAAATTAATACCTATGTAGTCAGTTACTCAAACACTTCAGAAACACACCAACCCACTTAATCAACTTTAAGAAACATTAACAACTCTAAAAATATATCATTGGATCATAAAGCAGTTAAAATACAGATGCAAACAGTCTTAGGAAACTTACAGCTTTGATACCAAAACCCCAGGCAATACTTACGGCAATGTAGAAGCAACTGCATGTCTCTAGAAATTTGGGGGCAGTTAAAGGCCACACTCACAGGTCAAGGGACTTACGTCCTAGATCAGTGCAACATGAAGTGTATTCTACAGACTAATGCTAGTCAATTGTCACTGGCTCATGACAACATAAGGAGCTAGTGCTAGAATGTAAAACTGCTGCACCATCAAGTACACTGTTAGTTCAGCACAGCAAGGCACTCTCAACGAAGAAAGCAGTACACTGAATTAAATTCTAGTACAAGCCCCTTACCTCACCACAGACTAGGAACAGTTCAAAAGGACCCATGTTCTTGAAAGGTACTATTCTAGACTCTAAAACAACCTGAGTTGTGGTAATATCTGTGTGACTGTCATAAACTTAATTTTTCTGAGTCTTAGTTTCATCTTTAAAACTGAGATCATAGAAACAAATCTGCCTTTTAATTCTACAATTCTGTGTTTCTAGGACATTGGAGAGGTTTAATTTTACGACCAGTCTACAATATTCCTGTTTATTCTTTCCTTCAGGGTTCAACAATTCCAAAGTTAAAATTGGCCTAGCAACAAAGGCTTCATACTATTAAACAAGATGTCATTCTCTAACTCATAAAATCAGGAACTAGAAGTACAAAAGCTTCCAGTAGCTAAATGGTTTGTCATCGTTCAATAACCTTACCTGTGCCATCTTTCTCCCATAGAAAAGATTTTCCATGACAAGGAGATCTAACTTCTTCTCAGTATTGTTCTGAGAATTCTTATAACCAATTCTGTAAACTCCAAGGATTTTGGCCAATGCAGTGGGCCTCTAATCAGAAAAAAAAAAAAAAAATGAAAGTAAACTCTTACCAAAAATGATTATTTGTAATGTAACACTCATATCTGTATTATCCATGTAATATCCAAACTAATGTTCTATTAATAGGACCAGAGGGCCTTGAAAGAAAGTTAAAACCCTTGGAACTCAGAAGCAAGTGAAAAGTAAAACATCAATGCCAATAAAAACATCAGATCTTTAACACCTGACCAAAAGATAAGGCTTTACAGTTTCTCAAAATCACAAATTTTATTATGACATATAATTTCCCCTAAAATATGCAATAAACCATAAATGAAAAACAATCTATGTGACTCTCTGATACACTTACTGGGAAGATCATGGCTAAATGTCAGGTGGGCAAACCTTGAGCCACTGGCTTCCTCTTTTTCTACCTATGGATCCAAACACTCATGTCTCAACAAATATTTCCAATTTCTGTCTTAACAAAACTACTAATTATAATATGCAGGTATTATCATTTAATCTTAATGATTCTACACACACACACTCTCTCTCTCTCTCTCTCTCTCTCTCTAAATGCAATCTGCTCCAGATCTTTTGGTTCCTGGCTGGCAAAGGTAGGAAAGAGAGTTTGAAATGACTACATTCTCTCACACTTCTATAACATAACAGAGATCCAGTCATGCCCTGTCCCTATCTTAGCATGGAAAAGACTGCCATTGGGACAAATTCTCAGGATGGGAAAAAGCCCATAAAACTCTAATTACAGACCAAGGTTTGGGATTTCTACCTTTTGTTGAACAGCGTTTGTAATATAATTGAAGTAGTGCGGTGCAAAGTCGAGGAAAGACTGGACTTCCAAACGAGGCATCTGCTTCAAAATGAATCTATCATCTAAAAAGCAGAAGCATCATATGTAGTTTATTCAGTCAAAGTATTTCCTGAGGTAATCTACAATAAATTGTTCCATAGACCCCAAATGATTTGTTTGCTTCATGGCTTTAAGGGATATTTTCTAATGTCAAGAGAAAATTTTAATCAGAATATAGTTCTCAACAGGGCTCCTGGGTGACTCAGTCGGTTAAGCATCCAACTTCAGCTCAGGTCATGATCTCACGATTTGTGAGTTTGAGCCTCACATCAGGCTCTCAGCTGTCAGCACAGAGCCTGCTTCAGGTCCTCTGTATCTCAGTCTCTCAAAAATAAAAATAAACATTAAAAAAAAAAAAAAAAGAATACAGTTCTCAAGTAATTGAGGGCTCCTTAAGTTCCTAAGGATTTACATAGTCAAGTAGCCTACTTTTGACAGAACCACACCTAAATTCATAACTAGATAGTCCACTTTTTAAAACTACTAAGTAAAATTTTATAAACTCCTTTGTTAACAGTGGAGTGTTATGAAAGCTTTTACCAAGGAACATCCCTCCTGCTGCATGTTCTCAAATAATTTTGCTTTTAGGGTATGGAGAATGGAGCTTAAAGTACAGACGGTCATCACCTTCTGCAAACCTCTGCAGGTTAAGAACTGGGCCTTCCTATTTTCAGGTTAAGTATTTGTATTTTTATCTTTCTCTCAACAGCTCTGAGGTACCCTTCTGACTCTTCTAGAAATTCTGTTACTATTACACTTGAAGACGTCAGGACCAGAGTTTAGTAAGGATCAGACAGACATTGTACACATGTACAGTCTTAAAACTGGTTATTGCAGCCTCTCAAACATCAAAACAGGAAACCTTGCTTGACAAATGGCAGTATCATACGACTTCAATTTAAGTGACTCATAAATTATCTGAAGGCAAAAGACAGCTACTACTCAGTCAGTGAAAGATGAAAAAGACTGACCTTCAGTGGCATAGAAGGCAGCTCCTGATTTGCCCCCACGGGCCTGCCAGGGTGACGAGTGGGAAAGAGAACGAATGAAATCTTCCTCACTGCTGCCCAGAATCACCTCACGCATCTTATGAAACTCTCCCGCATAGTACAGGCGACAGTAAAACTTGGCATTCGCATCAGAAAATTCTATAAACAGAAGGGGGGTAAGGGGCTTTTATGCACCAAAAACCTCTCTTCCTTCTTGCTCACTCCCCACCACCAACAAATGCGACCATTTAATTTTTTTCACGATAGCATTTCTCATGTTACATCTACATCCCTGTTTGTAACAGTTCTGTTAAAATGACCCTCAGGGAAGATTAAAAAGAACCTTCTGACCTTACATAAAAATCAAACATAAAATAAGACCCGTTTCTAATTTTATACGTTACTGTATTTTCATCATCATACTTTTTACATCTTAAATTTTACTACATATTCTGGATGATACATTATTGGCACCCCTCTCCCCTCACCCCCCCCCCCACACAATGCTAGATACCTGGTCACGGCTATAGCTCTAGAGTACACAATAATTACTTAAACATTGAAAATTAGATCATTACAAATTAAATTATAATTTAAACTAAATTTCTTTATAAACTAAATAATGTTGACTTTATAAACTAAATCTAGATTAAATAAAGCTCATGTCAGGAAAGAGACCTAACATTTACTCCAAGAAAACAGGATATTTATCTAGTATAAAACCAGAAGCCTTAAATAACAGTTTTCTCAATCACAGTCCCCGTCCCCACACCAACAGCATTTTATCTCATACTTACGAAGCTCCACATGAGGATTTATGAGTTGTTTCTTTTGTGTATCTCCTCCATCTACCTCATCTAAAAGGTTTGATATCGTTAGTAAAACCAAAGTTTTAAATGGGTTATCAGTTCATTTTGTCTTTTTTATCCCCTGACAGAATTATAAAAACTAACAAGTCCACCCCCTGTTATCCTGGCCAAGTCATTCTCAAGCAAGCATTCTGTGTACAATGAAGCTTGTGTAGACTATTACAAAAATACAGGTGCCTTTTGAAAGATTAATCTTCAGATGAAAAATAGAGAAATTTAGGTTGAAGAATAATTTTTCTTATATTTGATTCCTCTGAGGTCATACACTAACTCTGCTCTGACATCAAGTTTCCATTACGTATCAGTTATGACCGTTTTCTCCATGTGTGGAATAATGCTTCTCCAATAGCTTGAGATGCTTTCTTTGTCATATACTAAGATACATATACAATACACAAAATACACTAGTGTCTAGCTCAGAGGTAATTTTTACATTTGATTTGTGTGTCTAGATCCACTCTATTATAAATTTGGGACATACTTTAGTAGCTAGAAGAAATAATCCTCTATGTCTCACATTTCAAAATTATTTTTTTAAGCACCAATGTCTTCCAGGATTACAGCCCAAGAGAAGCCTAGAGAATACTAAACAGATATGTTAATTACTAACGCAAATTTACTATGCTATCTTGTAGACTACTAATTCATGACCTAACCCAAGGGTTGCCAAACTATTTCTGTAAAGGCCAGATGGTAAGTATTTTATTCAGTCACAACTGTTCAACTTGTCAATACAACATGAAAGCCAGACACTAAGTAAATGAATGGCTGTATTTATGTTCCAATACAAAAACAGGTGAGTGTAGTTTGCCTTTGCCTGGTCTAACCTCATATTCAAACATAATCAGGTAGCTATATTTTCAAACATCAAAATGAAGGCAGATATCAATGCCCTCAACCCTATAGAGACTGGAAAAGAAATGTGTAAGGGAGTAGTGGAGTGAAAACATTTGAATATATACTGTGAATTACATGTTTTACATGTTTAATGTCACTCAGTCCTCAGTAAGCCTCAGAAGACATTGCTTTTGCCACTTTACAGGTATGGAAACAAAGGACTTCTGATTCTACCACACGGTAACTGACAGCAGTAACATCTGCAGCCAGCTGGCCTCTACAAGCGCCATGCTTTTCCCACTCTGCCATGCTGAGGCATGAGAAGAGAGCTAACGTCTGAGTTTCAGCGTAAGAATCATCTACTTACGGCTGGAAAGAACACAAGCAGCTAAAGTAAGCTCATCTGGTTCCCTTTAACATACCTTGAGACTCGGTGCCTTGATTCTCCGTCCCCTCTTTGCCCGTCTGCCCAACCTGGTAGTAAGCACTATCTGCTCCACGTAAGGTCTCTCTCTTCTGGGAAGAGAGATCTGGGCTTTTCCCTGCTGTTCCTCGGAAGAAGGACAGCATTCCAGAAGTCTTTTTGGCTGAAAATAAAAGGTAACATATTAAATACAGGTCACTACAGGTGGAAAAAAAAAAAGATTTTCAACTCATTCCTTGTTAGCAGGAACCATTACACAAAGGTAATACACATTATTCTACATGCTCTATGGGGCTTAGGGGGGTGGTGGCAGTTAGTCAAGCACTTTTATTATCAGAAACATAAAAGAGCAATGCCAGGTAGCTATATATCAAAATCAGAAATTCTACAGAAAATCTCTTAAAAATATATTTATAAGGCAACAAAATTCAGGGCTAAATTCTTACATTATTTCAACAATTAAGTAAATACAAAACAATATTACAATTTACAAGAATTCAAAGTTAAAGGTAATAGCTCTGTATCATTTGTATTCTTACATTTTAACCCAGCAAAATACGGGGCGCCGGGGCGGCTCAGTTGGTTAAGCATCCGACTTGGGCTCAGGTCATGATCTCACAGTTCGTGGGTTCCGGCCCTGCATCGGGTTCTATGCTGACAGCTCAGAGCCTGGAGCCTGCTTCGGATTCTGTGTCTCCCTCTCTCTCTGACCCTCCCCTGTTCACGCTCTCTCTCTCTCTCTCTCTCTCAGAAATAAAACATTAAAAAAAATTTAACATTGGGGCGCCTGGGTGGCTTAGTCGGTTAAGCGTCCGACTTTCGCTTAGGTCATGATCTCGCGGTTCGTGGGTTCGAGCCCCGCGTCGGGCTCTGTGCTGACTGCCAGCTCAGAGCCTGGAGCCTATTTCAGTCTGTGACTCCCTCTCTCTCCGACCCTCCCCTGCTCACGCTGTCTCTCTCTCTCTCTCTCCTAGAAATAAATAAAACATTAAAAAAAAAAAAATTTAAAAAAAAAAAATTTAACATAGCAAAATGTAAGATTTTTTCAGCATTTCTCAGAAAATAGCATAAGACAGCCAAAAACATTACCAAAGCTTACATGCTTTTTTAAATGTTTATTTATTTACTTTGGGGGAGGGGGGAGGAGACAGGAAGAGAGAGAGGGAGAGAGAATCCCAAGCAGGATCTACACTATCAGCACAGATCCTGACACGGGGCTCAATCCCACCTACCGTGAGATCATGACCTGAGCCAAAATCAAGAGCTGGACACTCAACCAACTGAGCCACCCAGGAGCCCTAGCTCACTCTATAATTTTATTCCTTGTTTTGAGCTTAGTATATACATATACGTCATGTATGTATCCTCTATGAGCTTTGCATATATGATGCTAATCTTGTACAATTTACCATCTATAAAATCCACATAAAATGTCACTCATCAAGTGCTTATTAGTAAGGGTGGCAGACCCCATTATGGCCTCCCTAATATCCAAGCCCACCTTGTTCCTTGCCGAAAGAACTGCAATTCTGATGAGGGCAAGCAATGTGGAGAACCCCAGAAAGCAAATCACGATTTGTATAAGCAACTGGGACAGCACTACAATCTCAGTCTCCCTTCCAGGACGGGTGGTCACGAGCCTCTGCTGTAGTAAGACTGAAAGTGACGCCCCTGCATTCCTCACTACAGGAAACAGCCACGCTTACACCTACTTCCTTTCTTTCTGCCCCAAATGGAGACATGAACTGGAACATTTTGACCATGAGGAAAATTTAAGAGAATCATAAGGAAACGACCCCTCTACTGTCATGACGATGCTGACTAGCTGAACCAACGCCAGCAAATGCCTGCCTCCGGATGTTGCTTTTTTAGAAAAATAAAATGTTATTTGTTTAAGCCCCAAGAGTCACTTTAGTCTTCTGCTCTCTGTAGTGAACAGGTTCCTGACAAGGTCAAAGAGATCCATGCTCAAATCCCGGCCTCTGGCTACCTTTGCAATCCTGAGCAAATCACTTAGCTTTCTAAAACATGGGGATATATCCAATAAGTCTTAGTGCTTATTATGGGGATTAAAGGACATGACGCATGAAACGTTCTTTTCACAATGCCAACAATACTGTGAAAACTTTCTTCAGTTTCAAAAAACAAAAGTTTAAGTTTTTTAAGGTCACTCTTATCTTAGCTTGTATACTTTAAACTGAAAACTCCACAAAGGCAGATTCTGCGTCTTTTTGCAGAGACCTATGAGTTTCTAGAAGTTTCAAATCCAATAATAAGGTGAAGATCAAACAAAAGCAAAATATGTATAAAAGAGAGCACACAAAATGTATTAATGCATATCATACTGTAACGATCAGATGCAATAAATTCTTGCCAGATGGTATTTCTATTTATTGCTTTCTTCTCCAAACCATAACTACTGCTCTAGGTATACTCTTACTTGGCTGCGGTTCTGCTTCTGCTGTACGGTTCGTCTGTCCTCCACTGACCTCAGGTAATCTAATAGGGCTGCTGCTCTTTGGGCGGCTGTCCAAAGTGCTAGACAAACAAACAAGGAAAAGTTAGTTTCTACTATTCACACTGAAAATGATTCCTATGTTAATGGACTCCCCACCCAACCCCACCTAACCCCACCCACAGTATCCAAAATCCAATTCCTAAGTCATCTGAACATAGGTTACAACACAGAAGGAAAAGTCTTGAGATGCCTATGGCACTTTAGATCTTCTTCTTCAGCAAAATGTTGTAACTATGAAAGTGTACGGAAAACATCTGAAAACAGAGCCTTTTATAATACTTTCCCCAAGTCCATGAGAGCTGTGTTGGCCTCTATAGGTCAAACACTTACAGAAAATACCAATTTCGTAGTTTTCAGTCTAGTTACCATGATAATAAATAAATTAGATCAAATTTTGTCACATTCATGAAAGTCAAAAACTTATTTCAGTAAGAAAATAATGAGCCTACAACAATCTCTGTCTAAATGTCTAAAATACTGAACATACTAAAAGAACTGGTTAGAATTTTGTTTTATTTTTAAACTATTGGAATCTTTAATTACCATGGAAAATTTACAAATACTTTAAATTACAAAGTAAAGCATGGGGTTACTAATTTCACAAGTTACTATTATGTAAATAAAAACCATAAGAATTTAAAACACTGAAACTTTAAGTCTGCAATAGACGCTGGACTTCTATGGCAATGATCAGAAAACTGTATCCAAAGGCACCTGTGTAAGGCCTTCTGCTACACTTGAATTTTGTTCTGTCAATTGTTGGGCTAAAGTTTGAGTGCCACTGTCAGTATCCTAGCAACTTTCATATTAATAAGATACCATAATAAAATCAAAGTATGAGCGTTTAAAAAATGATGACATAGCCAAATTAAATAAATTCTACCCAGTCAATCACAGATCACCTATTTGTTGGAAGCCCTTCTTCGGCACTGTTCCGCTGAGTCGCTTTGGACAATTCCTCTAAGGCATTTCGGTATTCTTTACAACTTAGGGTAGAAATAAGTTGAAACATGTTAAACGTTAAGCTTCTCTTCAAAATAAATCATATACTTTAGAATAAGCTCTGCATTACAGGAATACAAGCTTGTTATGTGTCCATAATTAAACATGTGTGAGTCAACTAACAAAAGTTATCAAGTAGAAGCTTCATGAAGGTCACCTTCACAGATGATACTGCAAAATACACCCCAACACACCAACCAGTATCAATATCCTAAACAGTGATTGTGAAAGCCTTCATATTAATATTTAGATCAAATATCTTCAGGAATAGAACAGGTAGTTAAAGTATAAAACTTCAGACTTAAATATTACAGTGTGTAAAAGGTCATGAGAATGCTTTTCTACTTAAGGTACTGAACTTTAAGGAAAAAAACCTCCACTCTTAAGACTAGCAGTCTGGGAGTCCTGATTTAGACAGATGTCAGGGAACAAGATAAGCATGTATTATTTTTCCAAGACATTAGACAAAAGTGACTTCTACTAGAATACTCCATTCCTAACAGCACAAGAGGAATTTTTTATTTGCTGGCTTTCTTACTTTTCTATCTATTAATGTAGTAAGACTAAACAATGAAGTAAGAAGTAAATACTAACTTCATATAGATCTATCTTGTTTACTCTTATATATATAATACCTACTATACCACATCTTGTAGACATTCAAGTATCTGTTGAATAAGCAGCCTCCTTGTAATCAATATAAAGAGAAAATTTTAAATTTCAATGCCTTCCAACAGAAAAAAAGATTTTACTAGGGGCGCCTGGGTGGCTTAGTCGGTTAAGCGTCCGACTTTCGCTTAGGTCATGATCTCGCGGTTCATGTGTTCGAGCCCCGCGTCGGGCTCTGTGCTGACTGCCAGCTCAGAGCCTGGAGCCTGTTTCAGTCTGTGACTCCCTCTCTCTCTGACCCTCCCCTGCTCAAGCTGTCTCTCTCTCTCTCTCCTAGAAATAAATTTAAAAAACAAAAACAAAGCATTTAAAAAAAAAAAAAAAAAGATTTTACTAAACATCTTAGATTATACTAAACTAAGTTCTATCACTACCAAGATATTGTTGGTGCTGTCTTTTTAGGGGTGTCTGAGTGACTCAGTCGGTTAAGATTCCGACTTCAGCTCAGGTCATAATCTCACAGCTCTGTGCTGACAGCCCAGAGCCTGGAGCCTGCTTTGGATTCTTTCTCTCTCTCTCTCTCTTTCTCTCTCTCTCTCTCTCCTTCTCTATCTCCCCCCCTCCCTCTCTCCTTCCCTCTCTGAGATAGATAAACATTAACCAATTTATAAATAAATAAATAAATAGTGCTGTCTTTTTAGACATAAGATATAAATAAATTTATAGAAGGATGCTTGTTTAAAACACATGATAACTGGGGCACGTGGGTGGCTCGGTTAAGCATCCGACTTCAGCTTACATCATGATCTCACAGTTTGTGGGTTCGAGCCCCGCGTCGGTCTCTGTGCTGACTGCCAGCTCAGAGCCTGTAGCCTTGGTTTCAGATTCTGTATCTCCCTCTCTCTCTGACCCTCCCATGTTCATGCTCCCACCCTCTCTCTCTCTCTCTTTCTCAGAAATAAATAAAACATAAAATTTTTTTTAATTTAAAAAATAAATAATATAAAATAAAACACATAACTGTGGGAATGTACGTGGGTTAAGGCATAGGAGCATTAGCATAGAGCATTACTCTAGTAAGAAAATGAAATGCTACATGTGGCAAACAGGAAGGAAATGAAGAGCACAAAAAGGAACTCAGTTGATATAAGACGTTCTGTTATATGGATCAGTAAATGTAAGGAAGGGATACACAGTATAACCCAGAGAATGTTTAGAGGATATAAAGTAACCTGCCTACTCAATTAAGTAGAAGCTTGCTTAAGAAGCATCTTGTTATTATTGGGGTAAAGAATACATTTTCAGATACAAAGAGAACATGCTATCCTGCCCAAGTTATATATTTCTGCTTATATTTAATCATTCTGCCCTACTCTCTATAAAAGATCTCAACAATCAGGTGATTAGTAAATACACATAAAATATAAAGATCTAATCATAGGTGAAAAGTCCCAAGAATAATACCTGAGAGCAAAAGCAATGATGGAGCTCGGCTCCTTCTCACAAACCGCAATGGGTACCCGTTCGTGTTCATACATTAAGTAGTGTTTATCTGGATCACTGTTCAAAATTTTTAAATAAATAAGAACAAAATTAGCAGAAAATCATACGTAGGAACCACTAACACATTATAAGTAAATCTCAAGACAATTTTAAGTTAGCTAAATACGGCACAATTATAAGAATATAATTAAATAAGCCAAAACATATGTAGAATTTAAACCAAACAGCCAAGGAAAATGTTATTAACAGGAAATTTTTAAAGGTAATTGAAAATTGTCAGAATCAGTGTTCAAATCAGAGGGTTCCAGAATAGTTACTCCATAAAACACTTTCCACGTTTTCAAGAAGAAATAATGTAGCACAGTTTCTACAAGACTTTTCGTTCAGGTTTATAGTAGAACAAAATCTTTCACACTTCCGCTGTTCACTGTAAATACTTTTTGAGATGAACATGGCTCCAAGTCTAGTATTAGTCCAACAAGAAATAATATACCACAGCTGTTCTCCTATTTATCATATGGAAACTCAGTGGTGTGACTCCATTTTAACACAAATTTTAATCCCTTGACCTCCACCCTAGAGCCCCTGGGGAGGCATTCATTCATTTGTGCAACAGCTATTTGCTGTGCTAGAAATACAATATTAAGAAAAACTATTACTGAGGCGCCTGGGTGGCTCAGTTGGATAAGCGTCTGACTTCAATCAACTCTGGTCATAATCTCATGGTTCATGAGTTCGAGCCCCAAGTTAGGCTCTGTGCTGACAGCTCAGAGCCTGGAGCCTGCATCAGAATTTGTGACTCCCTCTCTCTCCACCCCTCTCGCACTCATGCTGTTTCTCTCTCTCTGACAAAGATAAATAAATGTTAAAAAAAAAAGGGGGGGGAACCCCACTATTACTAAGCATGTAACATGAGCAAGATGTGAATAATACAGTGGTACAAACCAGTAAGCATGATAGAGTTTACAGTACAGGGAGGTAAAGAATCAAATAATCCTGCCAATAAATACAATCACCGTCTGTGATAAGTGCCCCGAGGGAATCATGCGAGCATGTAACACAGAGACCTAATCTGGCCGGGGCAGAGAGCTAACGGGGAGAGTCTAAAGTTTTCCTGAAAAACAATTCACAGTAATGACTAAAGAAGAAAGTGAGCGCATGGGCAAAGGTCATAACAACACAAGAGACAATAACCCAGTTAAGAACCAAGACATTCAAGTCTGAAGCACAGAACACAGGGACCTTCTCAAACTATAGTGTAAATCTCTACTTGTCTCCTCCCTGAGACCGTGAGCTCCGAAGAGCAGCAATTTCCTTATTAATCTTGTTCTACATCCTGAGGCACTAGAGCTGGCACTCAGTACATTTCAACATAGACTGAATAAATCAATATGTGAGTCAGTTAAAAACAAAGGTCTTATGAACGGATGTCCACCTCTTAGACACACTTGCACCAGCCTACAGGAGCAGCATCTGATGGCTACACAGAGCAACCAGTGGAAAACAAACAATCTCTCCCAGCCAGCCTGTTTTCTTTCCTACTCAGTGAGCCCAGAACAAACAAGATCACATGAAAACTTGTACGGGTCATTGTAATGCATCACCAAGGACAGAAAAGCACCATGTCCCAGAAAGTTATTAGGTCAGTAATGTCATCTTTATACAACCAGCAATATGTTTTGATGATTGTGGGATCAACAGATGTAGCAGTATGTCTTTTATATATATATATATATATATATATATATATATATATATATATATATAAAAGCATTAGTTAATGCTTTTTTCATCCATTCATCTACTATATGATGATGGTTACGATATAATACTACCATAAATTACATCATACCGAAGATACTTCTTTTACTATCATGACGTATAATTTGAGAAGTACATACAATGTTAAATAAAGAATAAATATTTGGAGTGAGGCTTTTGAAATTAAGTGAAAACAAAACCACCCAACAACAGCCACTGACTTTTGTAATACTTACAAAGGAAATGGAATAGGGTTATAGCTATTTCCTGGAAGCAAATTTGCAAAGATGGCTTTCATGGTTGATTTTTCCTTCACCTGGCTGTCTGTGGATCCCAGCAAATGCCCATCAAACACATCTAGGATAAAAAATATTCTACTTATATGTTAATATTCAGGACAAGTAAAAAAAAAAAAAAGTATGAAGTATCAACATTATTTCTTGCCATGTTTGGAATACAGACATATATGCATACCATAATTACCAACTGTGGTACAAAATTTGTGATCTAGGAATAAGGACTCTTTTGGGATGAAAGAGGAAGCTATAGGGAAGCATACATAGTACTGAGTCCAAGGATCACACGGTTTTACATTTCACCCTCTCTGAAATGGGAGCCACCCATAACCGATGGTTTACCATTGAAGGAACCAGGCAGCAGTCATGATGCAATTCCTGAGTGAGCATGCGTGAGCATAGTCACAGCTCTTCTTGTTACATCAGAGTTTAATTGCAATTTAAAAGTTATTTTGGGGACTCTTGGGTGGCTTAGTCAGTTAATCGTCCTACTCTTGATTTCAGCTCAAGTCATTATCTCACGGTTCATGGGCTCAAGCCCCAAATTGGGCTGACAGCATGAAACCTGCTTGGGATTCTCTCCTCTCTCTCCCTCTGCTCCTCCCCCACTTGCACACGTGTGTTCTCTCTCTCCAAAAATAAATGAACCTTAAAAAAATTAAAACCTAAAAGCTATTTTTAAAGTTTACATTACTTAAGTAGTTACTGCTTGAACAGAAAACAAGGAAAGAGAACAGCGAGGCATAAGTTTGCCATTAGTGAAATAAACAGTTGGAGAAATGGCTGCAATTTCTCTTATTTTCTTACAAGGCCAAAACCATGTGCTTTATGGGACTCAAGAAAGTAATATGCCCAGAAAACAGATGAAACAGAATAATATTCTGTTCCTGAGATATTCCTATGTCAAGGAGCGCCAACCAAAGAAGTGATATGGTAAAAAAGCTCAAGCTAAAATAGCACTTCCAGGAAGGATAAAATGTACAAACTCTAAGAGGCAAGAAAGCATCTAAGAGGTGTCACAGCATTCACAGTGCTCTCTTTCAGAAGTACAGTCAAAGTGACTTCACCTGTACCTTCGGAACTGCTGGCTGTATCGAGCTCAGGGGGCGCCCCCCCCAGTTGCTCAGGCAGGGCCTCCGGGGGGGTAGGCAGCTGCAGGTGCGCGGAGCCCGCGGGGCTCTGGCTGCACAGCGAGGTCAGGAAGCGGTCCTCTAAAGAAAATCAAACTTCAATGAGTCATTCAAAAATGGGCCCATTTCTACCTATTAGGAATGTTTTTTAAATGCCAACTCATATTTCTCCTTCCTAAACCAAAGAATTTTAGCTTCCTAAAGATTATTTAGGCTATTTTAACACACATTTTAGAAATCGATACAGGGGCGCCTGGGTAGCTCAGGCATGATCCCGTGGGTCTGTGGGTTCAAGCCCCACATTGGGCTCTGTGCTGACAATGCAGAGCCTGTTTGGGATTCTCTCCCCCTTTCTCTGCCCATCCCCTGTTCATGCTGTCTTAAAATAAACTTTAAATAAATTTTTTAAAATAGAAATAGATACAAATATCCAAACAGGTTATAGGACTTCACCACAGTCAGCTTAGCGATAGCACTGTGACTGGCCACCCAAGTCTGATTCCCAATATTCTTTTCTACTAGACCATAACTGGCTACTGAAATACCAGCTCATTCAATTTAATAGGGAATAAAATCAGGACACCATTAGGAAAAAAATCACGTGCTCATTCTCAGGGGGAAAGTTTACTTCATCATAATAGAAAAATGTCAAGAATTTGTGAGCCCGTGTTCCACAAAAACAGTCTAAGTAAATGTCCCTACAAATTTTCCAGGATGGCACCAAGCTATTCAATGAAATACTGTGAAAGACAGCTTAGGTCTAGAAAAAGATTTTAGTGACATGAGCACATATATTACACTTTCTAGTATTTCTGCAGTGAAACCTGCTGACTTGGGAACAAGCAAAACAAAATTCAATTTCCTTCTTTTCTTTGCCCTTCCCCTAATAGACTGTGTTATTTCTACATCCTAGCTGATCTTCTTGCAATATAATATACTTCAGGATAAACTGACAGTGATACAATACAGGAAGGGTAAAAAATGTCTGTAACGACTGCATCAGAAAATCTTCTCAAAATTAGCCATGGAAACATCTTCTAGACTAAGAAATCTCTTTAAATCCAATGGCAAGTGATCACAGCCTCCAGGACCCACCTTTTTCTCCATTTTGAAGTCCTGGAGAAATAGTTCGTGGAGCTGCATCCATTGCACTTATCTGCAGAGAAGTAAACACCTTGTTCTTAAGGAAACATTAAAATCACATTTTTTAAATTTTCTAACCTGAAGCCTCTTTTTTGGTTAATTTTTTTTTTTAAGTTTCTTTATTTATTTCAAGAGAGAAATAGAGAGCACAGAGGAGGGGGCAGAGAGAGAGAGGAAGAGAACGCTAAGCATGTTCCATGCCATCAGCACAGAGCCCGACTCAGGGCTCAAACCCACAAGTCCTGAGATTGTCACCTGAGCCAAAACCAAGAGTCGGATCCTTACTTACAAGAGTCAGATGCTTAACCAACTGGGTCACCCAGGTACCCCTTACCTTATTAAGCCTCTTAAGAATTAAGACACACACACACACACACAAAGAATTAAGACGCTCAGCTTTTGTTTATGTGAGTTATAGCTTTTGATTTTTACCTTACTAGAAATTAAAAGTGGGACACCTGGGTGACTCAGTTGATTAAGCATCTAACTCTTGACTTCAGCTTTCAGCTCAGGTCATAATCTCACAGTTCGTGAGTTCAAGCCCCACATAAGGCTCTGTGCTGACAGTGAAATCTACATTGAATTCTCTCTCTCCCTCTCTCTCTACCCCCCTCTCTCTCTCAAAATAAATAAATAAATAAAACTTTTTTAAAAAATGAAAACTGAGAGTTTTAGAATATACATTAATTCATTTTAAAAATAATTAACCCCCACATGTTAATGTAAACATGTTTTTAATTTAAAAATATAAAATAAAAGCAAAAGTGGCATTGTTTTACACTTTCACAAACACTTCAATGTCTAGCAGACAGCTAAGTATATCTCTGTCTTCTGCACTTAATCTATTGAGCTATGTTACTATGACTGGACAATAAGAAAATCTAGGGGCATCTGGGTGGGTCAGTCGGTTAAGTGTCCGACTTTGGCTCAGGTCACGATCTCACGGTTCGTGGGTTCGAGCCCCGCGTTGGGCTCTGTGCTGACAGCTCGGAGCCTGGAGCCTGTTTCAGATTCTGTGTCTCCCTCTCTCTTTGACCCTCCCCTGCTCTCTCTCTCTCAGAAATAAATAAAACATTTAAAAAAAAAAAAATCTAGCCTCACACAGATATGTAATTGAAAAAGAGAAATCTTGCAGAGCCCTTGAAAGGAACTTACACCCCCAGGGGTCCTTTAGCTACACTTTGAGAACAGTGCTCTAAACAGTGGCTCACTTAATAGCATTAAAGAATCTAAGAACTACTTATGATTACCCATTAAACTTGGTAATCTTTTATTTTCCACTGGACTTATTCAAGTCCCATTATCCATAGGTAAGATATATTTAGAATCACTATAAACCCTGAGTACAATTTGATTACAAAGCCATTTCTTAGATGTCTATTTAGAACATTCTTAGATTTGCTCACCATTCCAGAGAGACCCCCGGCCACCCTATATAAAATAACCCACCACCATCCACTCCCTTAGCAATAACCCACCACCATCCACTCCCTTAGCAATACTCTCCTTCTCCCTTATTTTTTCCCAGGTTTTAAAAAAGCTTATTATCGTCAGGCAGAGAAGGACAAATATCCTATGTTTGCACGTATAGGAGGATTAGGAGGAACTTAACTGAGGAACAAGGGGGAGAAGAAGGGGAGAAATGGTGGGGGAAAGGGAGAGAGGCAAACCATGAGAGACTCTTGAATGCTGAGAAACAAACTGAGGACTGATGGATGTGGGGGGGAAGAGGGAGATGGGCATGGAGGAGGGCACTTGTGGGGATGAGCACTGGGTGTTATATGGAAACCAATTTGACAATAAACTATTTGTAAAAAAAAAATAATAAAAAAAATAATAAAACATAGTCACTTGCCAAAAAAAAAAAAAAAAAGCTTATTATCCACTGGTTTATTGTCAGTCTCCTCCACATTAGACAAGTGAATGTTCCACAAAGATAGCGACTATGACCTTTGTTCACGACTATGCCTTGAACCTAGAATAGTACCTAAAGTACTCAAAAACTAGTTATCAAATGAAAATACAGGCAGTGCTATAGATTTTCAAATCAACTTTCAAGTCTTCAAAAAGATGATCATTTGGGGGCACCTGGGTGGCTCAGTGGGTTGAATGTCCGACTTCGGCTCAGGTCATGATCTCACGGTTCATGGTTTCAACCCCCATGTCGGGCTCTGTGCTGACAGCTCAGAACCTGGAGCCTGCTTCGGATTCCGTGTCTCCCTCTCTCTCCCTGACCCTTCCCTGCTCACAATGTCTCTCTCAGAAATAAAACATTAAAAAAAAAATTTTTTTTTAAAGATGATCATCTGCTAAATAATTTTGTATTTTTAATTCTGCACATATTATAATTAAAAGTCTTACACCACTAGCTTTGCAGTTTCTTCTATGGGCAAATGGGAAGGCCATTAATAGTCTGTGTTAGCCATTACCAGCCCTAGATTACCTGGCAAGTACCAATGCACAAATCACCTTCGGTAACCCTTACTCTTACTTAACTTTAGGAAAAGTGATTCCTACAGTTATGAGACAAAAAGGGAGAATTCACTTATATATGTCTAAACAATAAAGATCTAAGGCACTTGAATTTATCATTCCATGAAAAATTCTCTATAGACATTACATACTTGTACAAAAAAAATCCTTTCAAACCCCTCTGACATTAATAATTTATCTGAAAGTATTGTTAGTATGATAAGCAGAACTCTAAGACGGCCCCCAAGAATCCTGCTCCCCTGGTATACACAGGCCCCATCCCCAGCTATTCAGTCAAACACTAATCTAAATACTGCTGTGAAGGGATTCTGCAGATGTATTCAAGGTCCCAAATCCATTAACCTTAAAATGAGGAGAGATTATCCAAGCAGTGATCTGATCACACAAGTCCTTTAAATCTGTGTCTAGAGGTCAGTGAAGAGGAGCTAAGAAATCTGAAGCATGAGAAGGATTCGATCCACTACTGTAAGCCCTGAAGATGAAAGGGGGCTCACGGCAAGGAATGCAGACAGCCTCTAGGAGTTGAGAATGGGCTCTGGTCAACTGCCAGCAACAAAAGTGGGACCTCAGTCCTAAAACCACTAGGAACTAAACTCTACCAACAGCCTGATGATCCTGGAAGATGACCCTGGCCTCAGGTAAGATAACGGCCCGGCCCAAATCTTGTCTGGAGCTATGGGAGACTGAGCAGAGATCCCACACCGTGCCAGACTCCTGAGCCCTGTAAAGATGAACTTGTGCTTTAGGCCACAAAGTCTGTGGTCATTTGTTATGGAATAAGAGAAAACTAATAGACTTAGAAAAGCCAATTAAATCAATGTGCAGAAGTAACCCTCAAGGAAAACTTCTCACTTAAGCAGAGATAAAAAACACACAAAACTACATAGTAAAATAAAGTAGGGCTCCCTTATCCACTCTGAACACCCAAACTTCTCCCTTAGAGACCTGCTGTAACCATGATGCTCTCCCCAGTGATGCCCACAGACAGCAGCTTCTGATGAATGTTTGAAATGAACGAATGGGAACAATTTTATTTCGAGCAAGATAAAAAATTAACACAGGGCATGTCTCTCTAAAACCTCACAACTGCAAAATGGAAAACAACTTAGTATTACTAAATCTACGTATCAAATTACTACGTAGTAGTAACTGTGTCTTAACTGAAATGAACTATAGTATTTATATCAATGAAAGACCAAAGACTATATTTCATTACCTTACTCTCTTCCCCCTGTCTCAGTCTTCCAGGGCTTGGAGGAACTGAAGGTCGCTTTCTACCCTTTTCTTGCTGGAAAAGGTCCTGCAATCTATAATTAAAGGGGTTGGGGAGAAGAGAATAGTTTGTTTCTAGTATCCTGAATAACATTTACAAATTTTCTCTTTATTCATTGTGATATCACAACAATTAGATTTCCTGTTTTGATTGCAAAAGATATTAAAATTATATATAACTGAGTTATATATAACTTATTTTATTTCCAGTCAACTAATCAAGGGCTGTTAGTTATAAAAGAACCTAGGACTATAGTTATAAAAGAACAGCAAGTTATTATAAGAGACAGTATCATGTAACCCAAACACACTAGCTTGAGTGACCAACAGACCTGAGCTCAAAACCAGCTCTGATAATTAGTAACTACACAACTTGGGTAAATGCCATGGTTTGTTAGAGATACTGCTTCCTCCTACACTGTAGCCTTCGTAAGACCAAATAAAAGACTAAATGTCCACCTAGTGCCTTACTTATTGTTTAGCATAACGCAAGTGCTCAATAAAGAAATGCTATAATAATCTAACCCTACTTCTAAATAAGCATTAAAGGAAAATATTTCCCCAAATAAACATTTAAATAAAGGTCTAAATTATAACATACTTGAGGGAAGCCTGAGTGGCTCAGTCTTAGGTTAAGTGTCTGACTTCAGTTCAGGTCATGATCTCACAGTCCGTGGGTTTGAGCCCCGCATCAGGCTCTGTGCTGACAGCTCAGAGCCTGGAGCCTGCTTCAGATTCTGTATCTCCCCCTCTCTCTGCCCCTCCCCTCTTTGTGCTCTCTCTCTCAAAAATAAATAAATAAACAAACAAACATTAAGAAAATAATAACACACTTGAAAGTCCTGGCCTAAAAACCGATAATCACTCCACAGAACACTAATTCAGTTATATCACATGCAATAAGCACACACACTCTTCAGGATTTGAAACCGCACTGAAAGCTCTTCTCATCTTTGTTTTTTTTTTAATTTTTACAAAAGATCTAAAGATTAGCATACATATTTAAAATTTTTTTTAACATTTATTCATTTTTGAGAGACAGAGAGAGACAGAGCATGAGCAGAGGAGGGGCAGAGAGAAAGACAGAATCCAAAGCAGGCTCCAGGCTCCAAGCTGTCAGCACAGAACCTGACAAGAGCAGTTCTTGAACCCATGAACTGAGAGACCATAACCTGAGTCAAAGTCGGTCACTTAACCGGCTGAGTCACCTAGATGCCCCATGACTAGCATATATATTTTAAATAGTGAAGGGGGGGTGGTGGCAGAAAAATTAAAACTTCTACAACGTGAGAGCAAAATGTAACATCCATTATTAATAAAGTCCTTTACATTAAAAACATGATGGCAGAGCGAATCTTGTCCAAACACTAAAGAAGCCCCAGGCACCTAAGCCACACCTGTTGTTCCAAGCTTGTAGCACTTCACAGAGACTCTGCTTCTTGGCAATGAGGGACTCGAAGACAGACTGCAGCTGTTGGGGGGCGTCTGCCGAGGAGGACATGAGCCTGGCTTGCATCTTCTCCACCCAGTTCTTGAACTCACCTTCCTCCATCTACACGACAGAAACAATCCAGGCAGATATGAGACACACCCTGCCTGCCAAAGAAACTTCTGATAAGTTAACAGTTAACTTTTGAATTTCTGTCAGAGACATTAATTACCTCTTTTTGTGCAAAGATATCTTCCATTTTTTCCTCTCTTGTTTTGCTAAATGTATCGGTTTTCAAAGATGCAAGTCTTTCATCAACAGCAAGATACACCTGTGAAACTCTAATAAAAACATGATTGTTAAACACTTTAGAAAAGTTGGAATTAAATTTTCAAAACTCTCATCAAAAGAAAAATAACACACACAAAATTTTAACTGTATTTTACCTAATTAAGAATCATACACAATTTTGTAAAACAAAAAAGACCTAAAGGGATATACATCAAAATTTTAACAGCTGTTATGTCTATGACAGTTTGATTTCTTTTTTGTACTTTTATGCAGTCTTAACTTTTTTTGTAACAGGCATTTGCAACATATATTTAGAAAAATATTTATTTTCAAAAAAAGCTACATGAACAAACCTGACATTTTAAAATATTTAAGATTTTTTAAAAATCTTTAAAAAAAGATGATCAAAAAAACTAAAACTCACTTTTGAAAGAAGTCCTTTAGATCCTGAAGCAGGGACACTTTTAATGGGGCTTGACGTTTAATGAATATCTTGGGGAGTGGAACACATACTTCAAGGAGCCGAATGGCAGAATAACTGAGAGAAAAAATACAAGTAGTAGTAGAAAAGTAAAAAATACTGTAATATCTTGAGTAGAGGTAAGCATAAATCCCATGAGGCATAAAAAAAAGTTTCTGTAAAACAGCATTTTAAAACAATTAAAATACTGAAGACAACTTCAACCATTAGAAGTACCTCTCCAACTCTAGATGGGTTTTTGTCTTGTTTACTTCTTCACTGTACTGTGATGTTATCATTTATCGCCTGAGGCTACCTCATGTGCTTATTAAGTAACGGTGACTGAGATAAACCTTATGAATGAGAGGGACCCCTTTCTACAATTAGCTTAGAAGCAAGTCAGTGTCCCAGCTCCTGCGGATTCCTCACAAGTCTTTACTCTTATCAGTCCCTCGTGAGCCTTTCCACCCAAGAGTTTATGTTGTCCAATAAATGCTATAACCTACCTACACAGTAGGTTCATGGTTAAAGCTCTTGCTCCCAAAGGAAATAAGCTCTAATTATAAGTATTCCCTGAAAGCCTGTATTGGGTCAGATGTTATTTTAGGTACTGAGGGCACAGCAATAAACAAGAGTCAAAATTACTGCCCTCATGATTCAGAAATAAGAAAACTCGGGAATAAGCAACATAAATACTTAAAATATACACTATATCAAACAGTAAGTGCTACAGAGAAAACTAAAGCAAGACAGGGAAACGGAGTGCTGGGGTGAGGAAGCAGGGCAGGTACAATGTGAACAAAGCCCCAGGAAGCAAGGAAAAGCAGGCAGGTATCTGGGCAGTGGGCGTTCAGAGAGGGAAGGGCAATCACCAGGCTCCAGGCAGGATCCTCCCAGATACGACTGAGGCTGCAGTGAGGGGACAGGAGGAGGAGGTGAGAACAGAGGAGGTACCGAGCAGCCAGAGCATGAGCAGAGTAGGACTGGGCTCCGGCTTTCACTCTCACTGAAACAGACACCCAGTAAGGTCTACAGCAGAGAAGTGGCCTAAGCAGATATTCATTTAAGGAAATCACTCTGATTCTTGTTGAGATCGAACTGCAGGGGGCAAGGCCAGAGGGAAACTGGTTGAGGCCACTGCAATAATCCAGTGAAAGGCAACAGAGGCTCAGTCCAGAGTGGGAGTGGTGGAGATGGTAAGTGTTCAGTTTCCGGATATATCTAGAAGGCAGAGCCTGAAGGGTTTCTCAGATCACTTAGTATCACAATGTACCCATTCTTTGAACTAGTGATTTTAGCTCTGTCTGGAATATCCAATTAACCTTACGCTAGTTAATGTCTTAGCAAAAATCCTGACAATACTTAAAGCAGTGGTTCTGCTAGGAATTTACCCAAGGGATACAGGAGTGCTGATGCATAGGAGCACATGTACCCCAATGTTCATAGCAGCACTCTCAACAATAGCTAAAACATGGAAAGAGCCTAAGTGTCCATCAACAGATGAATGGATCAAGAAGATGTCGTTCATCTATACAATGGAATACTACATGGCAATGAGAAAGAATGAAATCTGGCCATTTGTAGCAATGTGGATGGAACTTGAGGGTGGTATGCTGAGCGAAGTCAGACAGAGAAAGACAGATACCATATGCTTCCACTTATAGGAGGACTAGGAAAAACTTAACAGAGGACCATGGGGGAGAAGAAGGGGAAAAATAGTTGGGGAGAGGGAGGGAGGCAAACCATGAGAGACTCTTGAATACTGAGAACAAACTGAGGGCTAATGGCGGGGGAGAGGAGAAGGGAGGTGGTGGGCATGGAGGAGGGCACTTGTTGGGATGAGCACTGGGTATCATATGGAATCTAACTTGATAATAAACCATGAAAGAAAAAAAATACTTAAAGCAGTGGTTAAGATGAACATGTACAGCAGCAAATCTACTAGTTCATATCACGACTTCATCCCTTGCTAGCTCTCTAAGTGACCTGTAAGCTCAAAAGTGAGGGAAATAATAATACCTATTTCTTAAAATAAGGATTAAATAAAATGACCACACTGAAAGCTCTTAGCAGAGGATGACCCTCTGCACTGGCAAGGGTGGGGGTGGGGGACAACACATACCACAAAGTAACTCAAGTTAGTGACAGAATCCTTCTAGGGACTAGGTGACTATGTATAAGGTCACTTTCTTACCTGAAAGATGCCACCATCTGATTATAGGAGAAATACTGGTGATAATCATGGTGGATGGAGTGACCACACGGCTCAGCATTGGCTCTGCGAGTGTACTGGTGCCCATAAAACCTAAGTTCAAGGTATTTTGCAAATGACATGGACCAGGACTCGTTGGAAAGAGCAACAACTGGCGTTACCTGAAATTCATATAAATCGCTTGTTATGTAAACACATACTGAGAATCTCTTTTTTAAAAAATAGTTTTTCCTTTCCAGTGCATATCTAATATATTCTGACTGCAGAAAACTGGAAAAGAAATGTTTACAAGTGGGGAGAGTTAGGGATACCTGGGGATGCTGTATCACTGATGACCCACCACTATCCATATACTGCTATTTTTACTTCCCATGAATGAGTACATATATTTATGTACATGATACACATACAGATATACATAAATGAATCCATAGACAGTACCCAGCCAGCATACTTGTAAATAAAAAGTCTTTCCTATAATTAGTTTCAAAACCTTGTATTATTTTTACTTAACAATGCATCATAAATACTTTCCCACATAAAATGTCTTATACAACTTGATTTTAATGGCCATAGAATATCCATTATATGGACACTTTAAACCCATCTCTATTGAGGTACATAATAAGACATTACAAGATTTTCTTTACTCTGATGATGCTCCAACGAACTATCTTGTATGACAGTTCGTGTGTAATATATACTTACAAATATCCATAATTATTTCCCTGGAATAAATTAAGAAAAGTGGGAACTGGTAGGTCAAATGGCATGAATATTTATGTGGTCTTGGAGACTTTTTGCCACACTGTCTTGTAAAACTGGTGTACCGGCTTACACAATCTCCCAACAGTGTCTGAGTGTACCAAGTTCCCCACATGTTTACCAATCTCAGGAATTATAAATCTCTGAAATGTGATTTCTTAAAAACAAAACAAAATAAAATTGCACTTCACTGGTTTTATTTACATTTCTCTGCTAACAAGTCAAATGTATGTGCATGCGTCTCCCCGCCATTTGTATGCAACTGGCCTTTTTTCATTATCATGCCTTACAGGAATTTAACATGAAGTATATTACTGTTTGGTCATATCATAACTTTTGTGACACATGGAGATTTTTCATTTTTGTGTAACAAAACTGTTTACCTTTTCCTTTCTAACATAACCCCAAAGGCAGAAGTTTCTGTTTTAAAAGAAACTATACACAAGAAAGCATGTAAGATATAAAAATATAATTTATCATTTAATTCACTGTTCAATCCATACAAGTTCACATATCCCACAGCAAAGTATCACCAGCTGGATACTAACAGGAACCATACTGATTCCTTTAAGACAAGTATAAAAGCTAAGACAGATCATTGCAAGAAATGATTTCATGGTTACATGTTTGTTACTGTAGAAGGAACAGACTTTGATTTTGCCTTCCTCACTATGGAGGCTGACATAGGTCACACTATTATTTTATCTATAATTCTCATATGTGCCTTCCAAAAGCACACTCCAAAAATAAGCCAATGAGGTTAAACTTGGCATATGCTTGCTGCAAATAATTTGGATGAAAAGTAAATACTGAAAGCATAATTGTCACCCATTATTTCCTCCAGAGTTAAATAACAAAAGAAGAAATAGAACACATGGTCCTTTTCTCAAAAATGGTCCTTTTACGGGGCACCTGGGTGGCTTAGTCGGTTAAGCGTCCGACTTTCGCTTAGGTCATGATCTCGCGGTTCGTGGGTTCGAGCCCCGCATCGGGCTCTGTGCTGACTGCCAGCTCAGAGCCTGGAGCCTGTTTCAGTCTGTGACTCCCTCTCTCTCTGACCCTCCCCTGCTCACGCGGTCTCTCTCTCTCTCCTAGAAATAAATAAAACATTAAATAAATAAATAAATAAAATGAAATATCCTGGAAGAACAGGTGTAGGGAAGAAGGGGAACACCTAACCTAGAACTTCATGAACTTCACACAGCAAAAACAAACTTAGGACCTGTGAAGGAAAGGGGCACATCTTTTANTCTGTGACTCCCTCTCTCTCTGACCCTCCCCTGCTCATGCTGTCTCTCTCTCTCTCTTAGAAATAAATAAAAAAATATTTAAAAAAAAAAAAAAAGGTCCTTTTCACATGGCACATGAAAACTAGTAGAGATCAATTTAAACATGGTCTCAGCTGATCTCTTAAAATAGAAATATTGGTATAGGCTTAAATAGACACAAACACCCTGGGGTACTGTAATTACTGTTACAAGCCTTTCTCCTCCCCCAGAGGACAGGAGTCATACCACGCCCTTACACAGTCCCTGGCACATAGAGGATGCTAAATAAGTGCCGAATTAATACGCATAATTGAGAACTATCAAAATATAATCTCCATAATTTTGCTGAACAAGGTATTTATATTTTATACTAATGACATAAATTCTAAAACGGAACCTTCAATAAACAAACATTAAATGGAATACACAGCACTGGAAATTAAAATAAATAAGAGCCCGATGACAAATAACAAATCCAAAGTAGTATAGACCACCCCCTCCAAAAAAAGTTATGCAAATAAAGCAATAAATAATGCTGTATGAAATTTATAGTAACAGGGCACGTTTACCTGTTTGCAGATTCTGCACCAGGAATAGGTAAGAATTGTATGTTGATATCCAGGTACTGGAGAGTCCAACTCCTTCAGGATTATCTGCACACAGCCTTGGCCATGGACAAAGCGCCGAATATGATGCACCATGGGGGTATCACAGAACATGCTAGGACACTGATAAGAAGGCCTTTGACAAAGAGAAAGTCCTCACATTAACCATGAAACCAAAGAGCAATGTAGAATGAACACTGGCTAATCAGGCCCTGTCTCCAGAAAGAGCAGTATCCCCTCTCGAGTCATGCTGCCCATGGATGATCTGCACAGGGACCACTCACACTGCCGGGTGGACCGTCTGCACCGGGGACCACTCACACTGCCGGGTGGACCGTCTGCGCCGGGGACCACTCACATCGCTCAGAGCCTGCAGCTGAGCCTCCTGTCTTCAGCTACAGCTCAGTGACAGTTTCTAGGCATTGAGCACCTTGTATTTGCTCAGTATTTTTAAAACATCAACTCATTTTTTTGCCTAGTTAAGTCCATGACACCCCTAGAGCTTGTTCTTCCCTGCAAAGAGGACTGGTAAAACTCCTCTGCTCTTTATCATGTAAGTGGCAGGTGACAGCACTAAGACTTAAACCCAGGTCTCGCTGTCCTCATGTTTCTCCTGCCTCTCATTTCAATCATTCTAAAGATAAACATCCTAAAATAAAGTCTTAGGAATGGCAGCGTAATCAAAGACTGAGGAATGAACTGGTAAGATATCCTGGGGTTGGATGTGAAACAAATTACTTCTCTGTAAGGTATACTGATGTGTGGTATCACAGTGAAGGCCACACAATACTCCAACTCATGTTCACGTTTTGGACTGAAATCCGGGACATCTGAAAAGCATACATGAAACATAAGGAAATTTGTTCTTACCTGAAACAGTATCTCTCTAAAAAGATTCCTAATGTCAGATCATTCTTTCCATAAAACTCCATTGTTACAATCCTAGAAGAAGACAACATTTCTTTGGAACGTATCGTAAGAATTGCCACACAGCAAAGATACTTCATGAGACTACAAACTGATTACTTGTTAGATGTGCCTAGAATGCAGTATTAGAGTAGGTAATATTCTGGTCTTCTAGAACAGGTTTGACCTCAGCTGATAAACTGGTTTGGACTAGCTCCTTATCCACCCCCAGTCCATTAGCATCTTATCAACCTGAATCAGGATGCAGAAACAGTAATATTAAATGAGTAAAACGGACATGAGCCAGGAAGAGACGAAAGTCTCCACAAAGCCCTTCTGCTCCATCCCCAGAAAACAGGACTCCTGCCTCTTGCTCTCTGGTCCTCACACCTTTACTGAGCAAGAAGGACAGCAGCTCAGACTCTTCCGGGAGAGCCAATCCCTGACGTTACGCCTAACTTCTGAATGCCCACAAATAAGAGACTTTGGTTACAGCCCTGTTGTAACCCAGACCTTATTCAAGCCTTGACCTAAGGAGTCCGTAAACCCCCGGAGAAAATTTCTGTGGGGTCCCCAGCCCCAAGTCAGTCTGCTAGTGCTGTACACTAGAGCTCTGGAAGGACCCTTCACCCCACTGGGGGACATGAGTGCTTCTGGCGACCAAAATTAAATGCAGAACACATTCTGTCACAGAAACGGTGCTCCACAAACATGCAGCTACGTTCCACAGCACTTTTAAAACTAAACTATGCAGTAACTAGCCTTTTGTGACTATCATATCATTTGAAACAAATAATTCATGACATTATAAAATGTTTTTCTATCAATCTACTCAGAATTCAGTTTTAAATTAAGTTTAAAAGTTCTATCAATTCCATATAACTAGCACCATGCTGTGTACCTAAAACCAGATCCTAATAGCTGATTTTTCTTTTGAAGTTGCTGGAATTCTGTTCTTAAATACAGCGCAATAGTGCAAGAGGCAAATCCTACCAGGGGCTGACACAGGCACTGGGGGCGTTGCTGGACTGGGCAGAAGAGCTGCTGAAGAGCACACACAGTCTCTGGTGGTTCGCAGGGTTCAGACAGTCCACCTGGAAGACAAGGACCGGGTGAGCACCCCCAAGTGGCTCCACACTCCAACCCCGAAGCGGGCTTCTAACATCCACCACATTCCTTTTTGGGCATCACTGGAAGGACTCCAGGGGACGCTGAAAACTACCAGAAACTAAATATAAGGAAGAAGAGCAGTTCATTTTTGAGACAAAATGATGCAAAAACCTTAAGTTAACTTTAAAATACAAACAGATGTCTAGCTTGTTTTCTTAAATACTCTTTATTATAAAAGTGCATTAAGTCATTTTGGAAGTAAACAGTCGACTAAATAGTCCATATGATACAGTGTGAACTGGGGCGGCGCAGTCAGTTGAACATCCAGCCCTTGATTTCATCTCAGGTCACGATCCCAGACTCACAAGAGCGGGCCTGGGGCAGGTCCGCACTGAAGCATGGAGACTGACTGGGACTCCCCCTTTCTCTCTCTCTCTCTCTCTCTCTCTCTCTCTCTCTCTCTGCCCCTGCTTGTGTGCAAGCACATGTATTCTCTCTCTTGCTCTCTCTTCTCAAAATAGATAAACATTAAAAAAAAAAGTCTGAACTGATGGCTGAGAAATCAAAATTCCCAGGTATTTACTTATACTCTATACCTGTTCTTGATCATTACAGAGGCAACATCTGCTCTCTGTTGAAAATCAAATAGTACAGAGGGAAGTGAAGAAATTCATGAAGTACCTATAGCCTCACCTCCTCTGAAGCCACCCACCTCCCAAAGTGATCACTTTGCCTATATGGTTAAAAACATGCACACTTTTTGCTAGCTCACACACATGTACACACAAAAACATCCACATACGAATGCACAGGTAATTTTGTTTTTATAAAAATGGGAGGACTCTACATAGAACACTTGCTTTTTAACACTTCAACACAGTAAACAATAGGTGTTGACAAGGATGTGGAAAAGGGAACCCTCTCACACTGCTCGTGGGAATACAAACTGGTGCAGCCACTCTAGTGTCTACAGTGCGGAGGTTTCTCAGAAAGTTAAAAACAGAACAACCCTATGACCCAGCAATTGCACTACTAGATAGTGTTACCCAAAAGATAACAAAAATACAGATTCAAAAGGGCATGTGCACCTCAGTGTTTAGAGCAGTGCTATTAACAACAGCCAAACTATGGAGAAAGCCCAAATGTCCATCAAATGACAAATGGATAAAGATATGGTGTGTATATATACACATGTGTGTGTATACATATATATACGTATTTATATATATTATATACATATTTATATATATTATATACATTTATATATATATATAAAACGGAATGTTAGTCAACCATCAAAAAGAATGAAATCTTGCCATTTACAACAACATGGAAGAGCCAGAGTGTATTATGCTAAGCAAAATGGGTCAGAGAAAGACAAAGACCATATGAGTTTACTCATATGTGGAATTTAAAAAAAAAAAAAAAAGATGAACACATGGGAAATGGGGGATGGGGGATAAAAAGAGTGAGGGAAATAAACCATAAGAGACTCCTAACAACAGAGAACAAAAACTAGGGTTTGATGGAGGGGAGGTGGGTAGGATGGGGTTAGATGGGCTAGATGGGTGATGGGTATTAAGGAGGGCACTTGTGATGAGCACTGGGTGTTATATGCGATTAATCACTAAATTCTCCTCCTGAAGCCAATATTACACTATATGTTAACCAACTAGAATTTAAATAAAAATGTGATAAATAAATATAAATTAAAATTAAAAAAAGATTGGGGTGCCTGGGTGGCTAAGTCGGTTAAGCATCCAACTTCAGCTTGGGTCATGATCTCACGGTTTGTGGGTTCGAGCCCCGCATCAGGCTGGGTGCTGACAGCTCAGAGCCTGGAGCCTGCTTCAGATTCTGTGTCTCCCTCTCTGTCTGACCCTCCCCTGCTCACATGTCTCTCTCTCAGAAATAAATAAAACATTAAAAAAAAAAAAAAATTTAAAAAAGATTGGAATCCTGGACCATAGGTGTGTATATGTGCGTCTGTGTATGAAAACTAAAACAGATCTCCCTATCATTTTCTATAAGTTTACATAAACACAAATTTGCATAAAATTTATTATAGGTATTTTTTCACACCATGTTAACCATGGCTCTTATCACTTTCCTTTTTTGCCAATCTCACAAACAATAGTGTACCAAACAGAAAATAATGCATCATTATTATTTAGCACCTCCCTAACTACCAGTGAAATTAGACATCTTTTTATTTATTCTATTAAACAATTTCATATCCTCATTTAGAGATGGGTGTTTTCATTAGCTTTACTACAACCACTATCAATAATATGTCCATAAGCAAATCTTAATTTCCCCTCAAATTCTGTTTAAAACGAATAAGGGCGCCATCATAGTTGAATAACGTAAAGTGTTTTATGCTAAATATATACATCTGACATTTTCTAAAAACACATCCATTTTCCACAGTAAGCTGCGGTCTGGCTCTCCCTCACAATCATGAAAAGGATCGTGGATACATCACACCACACCCACGTCCCCCAGCCACAAAGTCTCCATGGCTCCACCCTTCCCCCTACTGCAAAGCTCTTCCTACTTTATTGTGAACTCAGCATGAAACATTCAAAATTCAGTTTCATTATACTGTTTTTTTAAATGTTTATTTGATTAAGAGAGAAAGGGAGAGAGAGAGAACAAGCAGGGGAGGGGCAGAGAGAGTCAGATGCTCAACCAAGTGAGGCACCCAGGTGCCCTATCCTGCTTTATATATTTTAAAGTAATTCATGAGCCAACAGACTCGGGGGGGAAAAAAAAAACCTATAAGAAGAAATATTTAATAAATAAATCTGCAGGCAATGTGTCATACTTGTGGGGGTTTTTCCTAACCCTGCCACAGCAAGTTCTTCAGCACTTTCTAAACCCACACAAGCACCCAAAGCGGTCCGCCTCACCTTTGTCGACCACACTGCATCACTCGGAATCAACCCTTTCTCCTCGTCACCATCAGTTTTGCTTCCTGATCTGCCACTTGAAGTACCAGGTACATCCTTTGAATGAGCAAAAGGGTCTGCACTTTTCTGCTGAATTCTTCCTCCTCTGGCCCGATAATCAGCCAGCATCCTACCCAGGCTCTGGCTATCCCCAAGATGCTCAGCAATTCTGGTGCTCACTAGCTCATGCGAGGGCAACACTTGAATAGACTTGGCCTGAACACTTCCGTTCATGCCTTGCAGGCCAGAGAGATCCCTAAGCAGCTGCTTCTTCCGCCTGCTTTCCATTTCTTTGAACTCTTTATTGAGGAGAGGAGACCAGTAAACCTGCTCTGCGAAATAATCTCGGGTGGAGCACCTCATCCCTTTTTCAGTTAAAAGGAAGGGCTCCCGGAATGTGATTACTGGGGAGATACAGAGGATCACGTCTTTCAATTCCTGTTTAAAAGCCAAAGAATAAGTCTTTCGTTTATCTTCAGAAGACGTAACCTCCTCAGTAACATACAATCCAGTGTCATCCTGTAAAGGGTCTCTAAAGGCTCTCATCTGGCTTTTGGGGTCCCGTAGCTCATCTGTGTGCTGCAAAGCCTCCGGCTGCTCAATGGCCATGGCATCCTGCTGGTCGTCCACATGGAGCGGCAGCAATGATTCAGGGACCGATGGAAATAGAGCACAGGGGATCCCCGCCGGGCAAGCCGTCGGGGCATACTCTTGATGCTTCAGGGATGCCACATCCTGTGGAATGCTTTTATTTTCCTGGTCACCCTTCTCAAACGCAATCCTTGATTCCAGCAAACTGCTCTCATCAGAGGGCAGAAATTCCGGAGGAATGTCAGGCTCCCGGGGGAGGGGACTTCCGCTGAATGGCTCTTGTATGGTCCCTTCATCCTCCCGCCCCTCAATCAGAGAATGGAAGGAAGGGTTTTGTGTTAACGTAGGAGGCATAGCAAATTCATCCATGAGGAAGGAGATTTCCAGTTGAGAATGATAAGCTACACAGATCATAAATATTAGGATCTCCTTAACTCGAGCCAGCTCATAATCAGAGCCTCCTCTAAGCTTGATCGTACAGCCCAGGTGCTGTGGACAGCCTTCAAAAAACATCAGTGTTTTGGTTTGCTCTACAAATAAACATATAAAAAGTTTAAGAAGATGTAGTTGGTATTCCGTAAAGCCCAGACAGAATTAATTATTTTAACCTCTACAAGAGAAAAATTTTCAAGTTAGACCACAGTTGCCAATCCTGCTTTAACCACTGCTAATAGATTTTAGTATTGTAACTAAACATAATTAATGGATTAGAAATTAGGACAAAGTAAACATTGTAGTATGGATGAGTCTACTCATTTCTTCAATTCTCCAATCTCAGGTCCCTCTATGCTAAAGATCACTCACCATTAGGCAACTGAAATATCTGCATATAAAATTTGTGACAGGTGCCCAGGTGGGGTTTTGTAAGCAGCTGGTCCATCGACATTACTAAATCACCTTGGGTCATCCGACTGATTCGTTCTAAAACTTGCTAGAACACAGAAAAGCATTATATTACAAAATTAGAGAAGAATAAAATTCTTAGTAAATTTTATCTGGAAAATAGGAAAAATTTAGATATAAACCTCACAATTAGTTTCTTTAATTTTAATTATATAATAATTTTTTTGATTCTAGGTTAAAGTTGCTCAGTGATCAGTATGTTCCCCCGAAAATAAACCAGACTCATATAATAACAGTATCAAAAAGTATGTAAGCATCATGCCCTGGCCCAGGATACTGGGGGAAAGGAGGGAAATTTCCTAGAAGTCTCCTCTATTCTGAAGAGGAGATAACTTTTCGAGAGAGAGCATTTTTTACTTGTACAATGCCCCAAACACAAGAAAGGCTCAACAAATACTACTTATTACTAAGTATCTATTACACCTTTAGTCTTAACAACTATAACGAGTGCTATATAATTAATTACACTTTCTTCCAGTCTAAGATTCTCCAGTCTTAAATAATGAAGTGACTGTCATACTTACTGTCCTACTTTCAACATATATGGAAGAGTGAACAGATAATCAAAGGTCCCTGCAGATCAATATGATTCATATAAATTTAAAAACTGAGATTTTTTGAATGATAGAAAAATAAGAACACTCACTGATTTTACATTAATGACCAAAGTAATGCCATGTTCTAATAACATGTCTTGGGCAATCCGAGACACTGTTTTCTCAACTAAAACCAACGTGGGTCGAACATCAACTATTCGCTGAACATAATTCTTCAGGAATTCCCTTTCCTAAGGGAAAAACACATCAAAAATATTATACCTGGTACAATTCAAGACCTACAGATATTAAAATATCAGGAGAGTTTGACTAATTCTCTTCATCTACAAATAAGTCCATAAGCAAGTTACTTCAAACACAACCAAGAATGTTATTCATAATTCTGAACTGTTGGTTATGCTAATAAAAAAGAGTTTCAGGAGAAATCCCATTTTCTGACTCGCCAATTTTACTTTGAAGGATTTTCAGTTCTTAATAACTAATATCATGAAGGCCAAGAATCCAATTAGCTCACTCTCAGAGGTTCAAAAAAACAAATAAAACCTAACCTCCCAACTCCCCAATGAAAGCAATCTCTAATTCTTGAAATACAGATTCCCTGTACTACACTCTGAAATTAACCAGAGTAGCTCTTCTCTTCTTTGGGTATAGGAATAAATAATTCTCTAACAGATGCTACTTCAGCTTCTTCCTCATTTCAATCTCCCAGTAGATCATCTTCTACTGAGAACATACCACTTAATACAATTAATAATACCACTTAATACAATTTCTTTTTTTTTTGTTTGTTTGTTTTGTGTGTTTTTTATTTTTTTAAATTTATTATTATTATTATTATTATTTTTTTTACAAATAGTTTATTGTCAAGATGGTTTCCACGCTTAATATAATTTCTTGACGAAGGCTTATTTTCAAAGCAAATGAACTGCAAATAACGACCAGAGTTAAAACAATACAAATCACTGGATGTTTCATAAAATTTATGGGCTCCAGGCAGGAGACACCTGAATGTGTGTCCATGTCTGTCACTTCTGCTCCACATGCCCAAAGTGTGTTCTGAACCAAGTCTGTATTTATGATCAGTGCCACCAACAACGGATGGGCCTATTCCCTGTAATGGACCCACCGTTACGGAGTATATTTCTACCTTGCTCTGTTTACTGACAGAAATCGTACATTTTCAAAATCTCCTGTTATTAACGAAAGATTTTTTTTCCCTTGAAACATGTTAATTTCCTACTCTACTTACTAAATGGTCATTTAACGGCATTTTCAATGGTTTTATTTGTGCAGCTTCAAACGTATAACTAGAATAAGTTGATATTTTACATTTCTGGCCTTTGGCACAGGGATGGCAAATACATTTCCTCTCAGTCCCAACTACAATCAGCTATCATGACTGCACGTGAAGCACCATGTTAAAAGGAGGCCTGGGCCAGGCCCAGCAAGGACAGGATATGAGGAAGCGGGCCGTGAGCATGGAATGGAGCAGCAGCAGACCAACAGACCTAGTAGTGATGAGGGAAACAAAGGCAAAAGAAACATAACTTAAATTTCCTAACAGCTTACAGTTCACTGCTACCTGAAACATGCACACTCTGACCTTCCTCAAGGAACTCGGGGCTGCCTTAGTGCCTTAATGTTTATGTTTTATTAAGACTAAATGTAATCTTACCTTAACAGCAGCTAGTCCCTCAAGGTCCAGAAAGGCTTGCTTCCAAATTCCTTGAAGTCTTATGCTATCCCTAACCCTCATTAATTAAACGAGTATAGAATCAATAAGTCACTCCTCACTATTCCAGTGCAGCTCCTTCTTCTCAGTTACATTTCATTTGTTTCCCTCTTTCTCCCCATGCTGTAACAAAACCACCTCTTTGTACCAAAAATGTCTCAAGAATTCTTTCTTAGCCATTTGTTCTCAAACCCAAAACTTCCAAATTTCATGATTTCAAAAGCAGTGCCAGCTTTGTGAAGACACGGTAAAGCCACAGGGCAATCACCTGCCTGCCCTTTGTCACTCATCCTCCTTCTGATTATAGGCATGCCCTGTTTATTATGCTTTGCATTACTGTGCTTTGCAGGTATTTTTTTTTACAGATCAAAGGTCTGTGGCGACCCTGAGTCAAACAAGTCTATTGGCACCATCTTCCCAACAGGAGTTGCTCATTTCATATCTGTGTCACATTTTGGAAATTCTCACAGTATTTTCCACTTTTTCATTATTATATCTGTTATGGTATTCTGCAATCAGTGATTTTGAACAACTCACTGAAAAGCTCAGATGATGGTCGGCATTTTTTAGCAATAAAGTGTTTTTAATTCATATATACATTTTGTTAGCTATAATGCTACTTGCACACTTAATAGACTACAGTACAGTGCAAACATAACTTTTATATGCACTGGGAGACCAAACAAGTCACTTAAGTTGCTTTATTGCAATACTGGCTTTACTGCCATGGCCTGGGACCAAACTGGCAGTATCTCTGAGGGAAGCCTGTATCTACTAAAATGTCAGCTTCTTCTCTGCTTATTCCACATGGATTGGACCAAACAAAAAAGGAGGACAAAAAATAAGCTGATAATTTATACCAATTCAAACTAAAAACTTCTATAGGGCAGGTATTAGAGGTATGATAAACTATGTTTTAAAGCACAAACAAGATGTTTTAGTTATGTGAATTAATTCATGTCTCTTAAATACAAGTTTGCCCAGAGCAAACTTCTCGAACACAAAAAGACCTGAGTACGTTAACCTATTTGCAAGAGGGGAGTTAAAATAGAGTGGATAAATTTAAGTATATAGTTTCTGTAAATAATTACCTGTGGATTTCAGGTACCCAATCCATCAATTATAAGACCTATAATTTTATACATTTTAACAAATACAATCAGGATAAGCCTTACAGTCAATGCAGTTGTGATCTGATCCTATAAAAGTCTTTCATGGACCCTTTCGTAGTGATCAAGAAAATTCCCAGCATCAAAGAATCCGAGCTTCCACAATAATTGTGTTTCCCCTAATTCCTTATTTCAGGTCACCACTGAGAAGGCACAGAACATCAGACAGTAGGGATGGTATGATCTAGGCAGAACCCCTGATTTTCACATATACATAGCTGAATTCTAAAGAGGAAACAGCCCCATGTAACAGAGTTCATTAAGCAATAGAGGACAGTTCCATACACCACAACTCGGTTTCTTCTCTTGGTGCCTATGAACTCTGTACATAAGTGACTGCTCTTCCCACACTTGGAAACATGTGCCTGTCACCCATGAATTTTCAGGTAATGCTTTCCCTAAATGTTTCTGGAACTGAATGTGTTTCTACTATAGTATTATAGACACATTCCTGAAAACCTCCCATTCTGAAGAATTGTTAATTAAAAATTAATAGTGTTTACGATAGAAAAGGAGCTGGGGCAAAAAACTTTATAAACCGATGTAACTTCATATCCAGTGCACTAACAAAAATAATCAGTACCTTGAGAGAGAACGTGGACAGCCCCGATGGGCAGCTCAGCACAGCTGGAGGCTGCCTCAAGGAAAACTTAAAACGTACAAAAGCAACTGCAACGGTACAACCAGAAATGGAGCTCTGAGCGGGGGAGCCATTAAGAAATGTCCGGGGCTAGGGGAGCTTCCCTCCAGGGGGAGAGCCCTTCTAGCAGGAGAGCACTTTGAATTTCTTAAAATAGAGCCAAAAGGGTTCCTGCCTGGTAGAAGCTGAGCTGAGGCAGAGTCTTCTTTCCAGTTGAGGGTTATGAGGCTTATGATCCTACTGCAGCCATGCTGGGTCCCCTTAGTTAAGAAAAGTCACACAGAAACCAACACAACTTCCACCTGATGCTACTCCCCTTTACCAGGTAACTGGTGTTCCAGAAACAAGTGTTTAGTAGAACAGGCTATATGAAAAACCAGCTATTGCCCCTGGGAATCTCGTAAGTTAGAAAAATACTTTAAGTAAATCAATAACCCAAGTGGAAACAGAGGCTGGAGTTTAGATTTTCACTTTTCTCCCACATATTCCCAGAAAGCTGTAGGTTCCCCTTAACACTTTGAAACTCTAAAAATAAGGAGTGACAGGTGCCTCAGTGTCTCAGTTGGTTAAGTGTCTGACTCTTGATTTCAGCTCAAGTCATGATCTCATGTTCACTCATGAGATCATGCCTAGTGTGATCTCTCTCCTATCTCTCTGCCCCATCCCCTGCTTGCAAGTGCCCGTGCTCTCTCTCTCTCAAAATAAACATTTAAAAAAATAATAAATATAAATAAAAATAAAGAGTGACAGAGGTTTTGGTAAGCTTCCAAAGTAATACATAAAAATGTCTTTTATAACACTTTAATACGTTTTTTCAATTTTTTAAAAGTTTATTTATTTATGGGGGGGGAGGGAGCACAAGCGGGGAGGGACAGAGAGAATCGCAAGCAGGTTCCACACTGTCAGTGCACACTCATACAAGGGGTTTGAGCCCATGACCGTGAGATCATGACCCGAGGCAGGATCAAGAATCGGATGCTATCACCAACTGAGCCACCCAGGTGCCCCTATAATAAATTTTTTTGATGAAACAAATCCACTCAAGTTTCTTTGCCCATCCAATTTAATCAGCTGGATAAAATTCTAAGACTTTGCACACGCTACGGTGCACAAACGTCCCCCTGGATCATTGTTTCAGTAAGTTCTTACCTGAAGCACAATAGGATCAATGCAAGTAAATTTAGTTTCTTCTCTGTAGAGATACTCGATGGAACATTTCAACAGAAGAATTTTGGGATTTTTAATACAAGAATTCATCTACAAAACATGAAGTTTGTTAAAAGTTTTTAAAGTCTGTTTTATCCTGGCCCTCTTAATCATACCTCTACACTCATACTATTTGTAATTCCTCCTAAACAGATTATTTCCTTATATTTGTAATGAAATACTCTCATTTAGTTCTCTTGTGCAATTCTCTTATATATCTTTTCAAAACAAATAATTAGCTCAGAGCAATGCAGACTTCCTTAAATATTGGCTCCATACTCTCTTAAAAGGTTTTTGTTGTTTTGTGTTTTTTGTAAGTATTGCAAGAAAAGGTATCAAGCCCTGGGTATGGAGGAGAGGGGATTAAAGACAGGCTATTTTACAAACTCAAAGAGATCAGCGACTTTGAAAGCCTCATTTAACCTTTCTAAAATTCAAGGAAATGCTCCCTGAATAGATTCCAAACAACTATTAAATCGGCAAGCCAAAGTGGGTAAAAAGTTTAAAAAGGAAATCCTTAAAGCATATCCAGAAGGACAGACTCAAACAATACACCCTACCCATGTAACTACAGCCACAGGCATGGGAGCCCGGGCCCTGCAATGGAGAGGCAGATTGACCATGCCTATAGACTCCAAACTGGCAAATGATCTTCAAACAGTGACTCATCAGGTGGGGAACTACACTTAGGGATTTTTTACCAACTACAAATTAAAGACTATCCCTAAATATGGTCAATGGAGCAAGACGGTCATTCATGCATATGTTTCTACCACACCCACATACAATTCTCAATTCTGGAGATAAGCTCAACATACATAGCTTTTAATTCAACAAAGATAATTTCATTTGGCTTAAATTACTACTCTGATGGGTAATATGCCTGTTTTAATAAGCCTCTATGTACAAATGCTGACAATAGTTCAAATCCAAGTGTACTTTATCTATGGTCACAAACAATTTTCAGGGGGCTTAATGCCTTTACAAAAAATGAGTTAGTCTCTGCCTAGAAAAGAATGAAAATAGGACTGCAGTTCACTCATCTAGTTGCTCAGGCTAGAAATGTGCCCAAACTTTCACTGGAGCCAAATCAGCTTCCCCAGGGGTGGGGGGTCAGGCTATCTCTGTTTGCAGTAAGCTCCGGTAGTGATTCAGAAGCAAGCAAGTTTGAGAGCACTGCTAGACTGATGGCTTCTCAAAACATAAGGACAGTTGAATGACACTGAAAACATCTGGAAGGCCTACTTTAAAAGCAGCCCCACCTTTCCCATCCCCCCCTCACACTCCCTTAAACTGAATGAGAATTTCTAGGGGTTGCGCTTAGGAATCTGCATATTTAACTAGGTTCATAGATGACCCTGATGTCCTATGCACTTTGAGAATTAGTGGCCTTCAGAATATAGTTAAGACCTTTACTGGGATACAAAGTCCGTGCCTTCTTCCTCCAACCTCATTTCCTTTCTCATCCTGCACCTTAGGAACCTCGGAGATTCCTTAACATATCAGGTTATTTCACCCCGCTTCTCTGTGTTAGTGCTAGAATGGGGCCTCAGGCCTGAAGGCAGAGATAGAAGGTGAGAAAGATAACAGAATGCCAGTTATAATTCTGCAAATCAGCCCTAAAAGAGCAGTTTCAAAATCCTAGGCCTCAGGAAGGACTCCAGGCTATTAGAGAAACCCTGTCTCCCTAAGATGCGGCAGGGTCAATGGAGAAATGATACCAATATCCTATCATTCTGCTGGTCTGGAAGCCCGACTCCCCCTCCTCCTACCTTCGTTTTTCCAATGAGTTCCTATTATCCAAATCCTAATCAGAAGCAGCTCTAGGAGACCTAACCTGAAACTCCAAAATTTCACCCCTATAGCAGACACTGCTAAACTACTCCATGATAGCCATTCTCCTTCTCTTCTATGATTAGAAGTTAGTACTCCAACTTGCTGGCTTGATACACAATCATAGTTTGCTGACCTTCCCTGTTGGAAAAGATCACATTACCTTTTTATGTGCAATATTTTTGGTACAAACAAATCCATTGACAACCACAGAATCAAACTTCTTTCCACCTGGGATCTAAGGAAACAAGAAAACAAAACTCGATGATATATCCTTAGAATCCAGTCAGGTGGATGTCATTATTTAGTTCCATTTTTAATTTTAACTCCTACGTAATCAAATCAGAACAGAAAATTCCAGAATATAGCTCTTCCTTTCAACCAATAATTAATGGCATGTAGCATGACTGTCTATTTACCCATTTCCCACTCTCTACAGTATTAGCTGGTATTCTAAAATAACAACTTGACCAAACAAATTGGCAATTAAAACCATTACTAAGTCAAATGTCATAGGCAAAAAATACATACAAGACTCCATTACTATCTAAATAAAGCAATTACCCACTGCTTTTCCTCAGAACAGTGACAGTAACCTGTGGGAAGAGGTCTTCTCATAGATAACATGTCAAGAAAAAGGAAGCAAGAAAGGAAGAAATCATATTTGTTTGGTTTCCCAATTCACTCCATGCCCAGCTCACCCCTTCCATTCACCTCTCACTTCCTACGAGTGGTTTCCATGACCCTTAAATTAACTGCTAACAAACAGATCAGGCAGAAAAACCTTCCCCTCCTCACCAAGAACCCCTTTCAGATTACCATGAAGAGACAAACTACTACCAGGCCCACCCCATCAGCACCTAGCATTAGAAAAGCATTAGCGTGCTAACTTTTTTAATATGGACAAACTGACGGATATCCATGTCATCATCCCGGTTCTTGACATCGGGTCGGACTGTCTGAACAACCTGGCAGACCAGTGATACGATGATGTCCCTCCAAGATGGTGACAATGACTCATTATGAAGCAACTGTTGGAGTAGTGCCATCATGTGGTTATGATTAGCTGAACTACAAAAATGTCACAAGAAAGAAGTTGGCATAGTTAATACCGGCAGAGACATGAATTCCGAATCGACAGGGATTCTACAAAGAAATAAGCATATGAATGATGGCTTAAAGATCTCCTTGAGTCAATCTTATTTTATCTGCACCTTAATGATTTTGCACATGAATGAAATCTGTGAGTATTTCAATTAAGTTAACTCTTTTAATTCAATGAAATTTTAACACATAAATTACAGTGGGCACAGACAATCACAGTTGAGGACTCTTACAAGAAAGTTCATCAGAATAGGCTTTATTTCCTAAGTAACGTTAGTTTTTTGACTTTCTGAGGAAGAAAAACTATGCATATACCCACCAAGTCATTGAAAATTATAAAAATGGAAAATTAAAATCAAAAAGCTCACTGCCTTACAGCAACCTCTCCATGGCTTGTTTTTCTCCATTCTCCTCTCTCAGCAGCTCCAGGTTGTTATGATGCCAACCCAAAGGTGTGAAAGGCAGTTCTTTGGATTTTTCCTCAACTCGACGATTAAATAAGGATTCTAAGTATAAAAGAAGACACTGTGTTTCACTGTTGCATTTTATACCATACTTACAGATTTAGAAAGTGCCAATTTATCTTTTTAAATTTTTAAAGTCGGTCCATTCAAACTATTGGTATAAAAAGGCATGGACATGTGTCAATACACAAATAAAAAAATTAAGTCTGACTTAGATCATCAACTCAAAACAGCCAAAATCAGAGACAGAACACCGAAAAGCAAATTTACATAAATGGCAAGGCCTCTTAAGCCAAGAATTTTAAATATGTCTTCTGAGGAACAAATGAGACTTTTTATAGTCTTTTTATTTAGCTGGGGACGTTAAAAAAGAATGGGGCCAGCTCTCCTTATAAGAACACAAACTAAAAACTGCATTCAGCACAACTCTAAAGGCCGGCGGAACATGTGATGGTGTGGGGGCTGAACTTGAAAGAGAAAAGCTCAGCTCTGATATGTCTGAACCAGCACTTGACAGTGTAAGTCTATCCCGACAATTCTTAATAGTGTTTCTTTCTCAACATAAAAAACAAAGGCCTTTTTTTAACCAAACTTTTATAAGTCAGACCCAAAAATGAACTATATAGGAATAATAAAACATGATAACAATCTATGTAAAAATCTGTAAAATCTTTACATTTCTAAAAAGAATTAAAGTGGATCTAAACAAAAAATAGGTAATATTAAAAAGTTTTGCCAAAAAATGCTCACTATAGAAGTACTGAAAAATGTGACTGAATAAATGGAAAGAGGTGGGAAATGCTTACAAAAATTCTCTCATCCTTCCCCCCTCTTAAAGCAAACCGACAAACAAAAAAGCTTTCAACAGAGTAGTCCAGCACTAAAAGGAAAGAACGTGTCCACATGCGAGAAACAAAAACTGTGCATTTTAATTATGTAAACAGCGGGCCTATAAACTTCTGGTTGAACCAGGTGTTCAGAGGTGAGTATAGAAACCCTTCTAAATTTTGAAATGGGCCGCGAGTGGCCTCCGGTGCACCAGCTTGTCCCACCTTCTCTCTTTTATGTCAAGCCCTCCCATTTTCTGAGGTCTAAGCTGTGGAGTGGTAAGAACTAACGAAGCCTGTCAGCACTCCACAGTAAGCTAAGTGGGGAAGGTGTAAGAGAAGCCTGTACTCTTCTGTACGGCCTTTTGTCCCCGAGAAATGGACCAGCAGAATCAGTTCTGTATCTCCTGTGCCCACTTCTCTTCCCAGTTCCACAGGGCAGGCAGTGTGTTCAATTGGAGGAGATCTCTTTGGGGGCTTTCTGACAGGTTTGAGAATCCTTGATGATATGTATATCAATACTTAATACTATATTCATGATTTGGAAAGCAGAAGCTATGTATAACTTTAAAAGAAAAAAATTCAAATTCTATTTAAAAGCTTTTAAACAATTACCCTTCAGATCAGCTATTCTGTCTCAAACCAAGTCCAAGTTTATATTCTTCATTCCCAACCGTTTCAGAGTCACCATACGTATTAAAAACTGTGTTCCCATCATACTAAAACAATCACATTTATTTTCGGTACCTACTCTGTGCCAATCAGTGTGCTGGGCCCTAAGCACATCCTCACAAACAAGACAATAACAAACAAGCTTTCGGTAAAATTACCTTTGATGAAGGCGTCACTTATTGAGAGTTGCTGTCCTCCGTTGTCAGATATCAAATACTCTGCATACCGGGGAGAGAGCAGAGAGAGGAGGAAGAAAAGCAGACTTATGACTGTAACACGCCAGCCTAATTATACAGAGAACACACCTACACACGAACTACTACTCCTACTAAACCCAACACTGCCCAGCTCAAGAGAGCTTTAGGCTAAAAAAGCATCTTCAGACTTCTTCCACACGCTTCATACTAAACTTCACAGACGTGAATAACTCAACAGAACCCTGAAGCAGTAAAGTCAGATACCCTTTAACTGATTGCTTTTCCCTTATCAAAGCTGAACCAGTTTATGAAATTTGAGATCTTCAGGAATTTACGCATGACAGGCCAAAAAAGTGACACCATTTTTCTCATGAACAGCTGTATTTCACAAATAATGACTCTGTAGTCACACAAAGTAGTTCAGTGGTAGAGAAGCCACCTGAAAAAACATATAAGGTGTTTTGTTTTGTTTTTAATTTCAGACTACAAGCTACAAAGCAAATTAATACACAAGTGACACTGGAATAGAGACAACTCATCGGGATTTCTAGGAGTTTCGGAATTAAGAGTTTCAGTTTTTCAAAATTCTAACCAAACTCTGCCAAATAGTTGCCAGAAGATAAGTGAACACATGCTGTGTTCTTTTACAACTTTCAGAATATTAAATACTTCCCTTACAAGTGAAACTTATTCTTTACTTCCCCTGGAACTTTTCTAGGTTCTTTCTACTATGCAAACTAAACCACAACCTATTTTAAGCCTTTTAAAATAAAGATTCTCCACAAAACTCTTTCCAAATAGATTTCACTTATAACAAAAAACCTTCAGAAGTCACTACGTTTATAAGTCAGTGTTGATCATCTTCTGAACAAGAAAGCGGAGAAAAAGTTTTATGTAGAAAATTCATGTGTACCAAGCCAAATACAATCAATCAAGTATGTGGACAAATAAAAATAGATGTTATACTTTATTTCTACAGCCCCTGCACAGAAATGAATAATGCCAACCTGTCTGCTCAACTCATGTACTGGCTTTGCAAGCTTTACTTTTCATACTAAAGATTGAATACATGTATATATTTCCAACCCCCCAGGAGAGATCATTTCCAAACATTCAGAAAATCCTGTATACCCTTCACCCAGATTCATCATTTGTCAACTTACCACATCTGATTTCTTCCTACATATATGTGTATGCTCTTCCCCAACCATTTGAAACTACACACATCATGACACTGGACCGCTAATACTTCAGCATGCATCTCTTAAAAATAAGGGCATTCTCGGGGGAGCCTGGGTGGCTCGGTTGAGCATCTGACTTCAGCTCAGATCGTGATCTTACGGTTCATGGGTTCACACTGGGCTTTGAGCTAATAGTATGATGAAGTCTGCTTCGGATTCTGTCTCCTCTCTCTCTGCCCCTCCCCTGCTCGCTCTCCCTCTCTCCTTCTCAAAAAATAAACACTAAAAAATTTTTTAAATAAGGACATTCTTCTCTACAGCCACAATGCCATTTACATAGTCAAGAAAACTGACAATGTCTTAATATCATCAAGTTAGTGTGCACTTATTCTTTCCATATTTTAATGATTTGTGAATCTGGAAAACACTAAAAGTACTGACCAAAAAAAAAAAAAAAAGCTTGTTGAGCAAGAACTGAATACAGATAGACAGCCCAGCCCTATAGCATAACCTATGAGCATCCCTTTCCTGTTGATATCAGGATACTCTCCCAGTATCTGGCACAACCATTAAAGTACAAATCAATGTGTTATATTAATAGTGACACCACTAGGTTCCTATATTTACCAAACCACTAATCTCTTTCTGTGTGTTTTTTGCATACAGACTCATAGAGACTTGGGTCTGTACTTTTAACAGATAAATATGACTACCGTCTATAACTACCTCTTTAACATACTTCAAGTGCAAAACTAACCTCAAGTTATTGAGATCATTAAATGTCTTATTAACATCAAAGACAACAGGATCTACCACAGTCTCCAGAGCTAACAATCTCCTACTACTGTAAAAGAAGGAATTGGGGTTGTTTTGAAAAGACTTACTGTAATAAATCAACACTGGTGCCCACTCACCACTAATCCTCTTTCTAAATACAACAGTACATTCTTTTCATTAAATTTTTCTACAATTTTGCCAACTTCCGATGTCAAAACAAGAACCGACCTTTTCAAAAGTTTATTGCCTCTCTGGCTACAATCATCCAACCCTCTCTCCTTTTCTCCACAATTCTAAGATAACAAACTCTGGCCCCCCATGATCACAGCTCTAAATTACCTTAATAGCTTTTGACCGAACCTGACAAAAGACTTGAAAATAACCAGGCATTCTTGGGGTGCCTGGGTGGCTCAGTCAGTTCAGCTCAGGTCATGATCTCACAGTTCGTGGGATGGAGTCCCATGATGGTTCCGGGACTCTCTCACTCTCTGCCTCTCCCTTGCTCATGCTTGCTCCCTCTATCTCAAAGTAAATAAACTTTAAATACAATTTTTTAAAAACCAGGCATTCCCTATCATCTCATTATCTTGGACTTCACTTTCCTTTTAACCATGTTAGTTCTTTCCTGATAAGATCTCAGTGGGGGCAAGAGGAAAAAGCTTAAATTAATATTATATAATTTTGTCATATCATTGGCCTAATTTTCCTTTCTTTACACCATAATTAAAAAAAATCTCTTCTCAGGGGCACCTGGGTGGCTCAGTCAGTTGAGCATCCAACTTCAGCTTAGGTCATGATCTCACTCTATCAGTTTGAGCCCCACATCCAACTCTCTGCTGTCAGCTCACTTTGGATCCTCTGTCCCCCTTGCTCTCTGCCCCTCCCCCACTCTCTCTCACACGTGTGCTCTCTCAAAAATAAAAAATAAGCATTAAAAAAATATATTTTCTGAGATATTCTTGGCATTTGGTCCACCCATCAGTGCCATTTGGACTTCTATCATCCTGTCTTTTTTTTTTTTTTTTTTAAGTGCTAGCCCCTCCTTTCAGATTCATCCTCAAAAAAAGGTTTTTTCTCTCACAACTTTTATAGACCATCTTTTTAAAAGGTTGAGAGCAGAGAGGTTGCAGAAGATTCATGGTGCTTTTTTCAACTGCAGATGCTTCCCCTTTAAATTTCCTTTGGGATACAACTGGAGGATGAACTGTAAAAGTATCACTTTCAAAGCTTCCTACTTCATTCCTCTCCCAACATTATGAAGTCAGGCGTCCTAAAGCAAACTGTCTAACTACTCAGCAGTCCACCTTTTGCTATAATGAAACCTATGATGACAGGTCACTTTCTTCATGGTTTTCATAATTTAACTTTCTAAGACGTGAAATCAACATCAAGTAAAAAATGAATTTCACATTCTACTTTCAGCAAAACAAAATTGCATTGCCAACACACCCGTCCAGAGAATAGCTATCCTTCACAACACATGCCACCTCTGACTCACATCCGTCATTTTCATTACAAAGCATCACCCAGCTGTGCTCCAGGGGACCAGACTACAGTTCATGTCACCTGAGTGTCGACTGTCGTGTCTAGTGCACTGTCCTTTCCTATTTGCCCAAATGTTCTCCACTGTTTTTACCATTTTTGATGATTCCCATAAAGACATGGATCTTACTCATATACAATGCTAGTCAAGTCTCCTCTTTTACCGCATCCTCTCTAAACTTCTATTTTTGAATAAGATACACATTTTTATTAGTATAATTTTTTGTTGTTCTGTTTCAAGTTTTTATTTAAATTCTAGTTAACTAGCTACCCTAGTTTCAGGGGTAGAATTTAGTGACCCATCACTTACATACAAAACCGAATACTCATCCCAACAAGTGCCCTACTTAACGCCCATCACCCTGCAGCCCACCCCCTACCCACTGGCCTCCACCAACCCTCAGCTTGTTCTCTATTGTTAAGAATCTCTTTTGGCTTGCTTCCCTCCTTTTCCCCTACTACTATAACTCTCAAAAGCTATTTTACCACACCTTGAGGATAATGGTTAATATTGATAACCATGCGGGGCACATGGGAAGCTCATTCAGTTAAGCGTTCAACTCTTGATATCAGCTTAGGTCATTATCTCAGTGAGGTCAAGCCCCACGTTAGGCTCTGCACTGACAGCATGGAGCCTGCTTGCACTCTCTCTCTTTCTCTCTAACTAAGTAAACAAACTTAAAAAAAGATATTGACAATCATGAGAAATTTGTTGTAGAAATGGGAGTTTGTTTCCAATTATTTGACCATAGATGTTTAGGTTCAAAAGTTTCTCTTTTCTGACCATATTTTTACACTCAAAATAAGAAGTAGCAAGGAATTGAAAAGCATTTCCAATCTAAGGAAACAATTCAACTTCAGAGAGCTAAATGTTAAAAATCCAAACTCCAGATGAAATCATGGAATAAAGCGTTTCTTCTTTATAATAATGATTTAGTTACTACAACATAATACAATCTCACAATTATATACTTACATATTTTTTACTTTTACCTAATTTATTTACTTGTACATAGTGCCTGTTTAGGGCTAAAATTTAATTTGGCTTTAAAAAAATTTTTTTAATGTTTATTTATTTGTGAGAGAGAGAGGGACAGAGCATGAGCGGGGAAGGGGCAGAGAGAGCCGGAGATGCAGAATCCAAAGCAGGCTCCAGGCTCTGAGCTGTCAGCACAGAGCCCAATGTGGGGCTCGAACCAAGGAACTGCAAGATCATGACCTGAGTTGAGGTCAGATGCTTAACTGACTGAGCCACTCGGGTGCCTCAAATTTGGCTTTTAATTATATCCAAAAGAGCAAACATCAACTTTAAAAAAGCATTTCATTTCTTAGGTACTGGTACTAATGGATTTTAGCAATGATTTATCTTACTTTTCCTTTTATACCAAATGTCTTTTGGATATGCCCATTAATATTTTTGAGTCAGTAGAATAAATCCTCAAACAAGACAACTAAAAATAATGCAATCATTTCGTTCACTCAGAGAAGAAAACCTTTTTATAAATATGGCATATACATCACAAGCATTTTGTTTTGAGGTGGACACAAGAATGATATTTTATTTACTAACGAAGGAAAATAATAATAACCACGATATAAGGTGGCCTTGAAGTACACGTGAGAGTATGATCAACACAATCCTTCCCTGCAAACAAATATCTGTGAGAAGCTTCATCACAGTTAGAAACCATGGAAAAAATACAACGATATCAGGAAAGAAATTTGAATCTTCGGTCTGTTCTTTCCGTAATAAGCGTTTTAAAATCCAGTAGGAAGATGTTTCAGAATGTGTGAAAGATTTCCCCCCAATATAGTTCAAGTACCTGAAAAGGTTTAGTGAAATGCTACGTTACTGGTTAATAGCATAAGCAAATAGGCTTTAATACGTTAAATGAGGAAAGAGAAATGAATAGAGCAGAACGTCCATGTTATAAATGCCAAGAAATGCCACCTTGGAAGTTGCACATTATGCCAAAGGGAAGAGCAGTCAGATGTAGTTCCTTTAAGAGACTACAAGCTTTCAACTGTGTGTGGTGGTACTGAGGGAGAAAAGGAGAAATAAAAGGAACCAATCAAAAAAAAGTGTGGGGAGAGGGTGTGGGGAAAATGAGAAAGGGTGGAACAAAACCCACACCAAGTCCCCTCCGCCGTGTGGGACCGACGAGGCCAGAAGGACAGGCTGGCGTGAGATCCTACGGCCCCGCTCTCCAGCCTGTGCTTGGATTCCGGACGGTGACCACCTCCTACCTTTTTGGTCGGCAGGGTGAGGGGGCACATGTGGGTACTTGGAGGGCTTCTTGATATGGAAGTTCACGTTGTCCAGCTCCACGTTCAGGCTGATGGAAGCGGCTGAGTCACTGTCCACTGTGGACTGGAAGCTGCTGACTGATGTGCGCTTGCTAGGACTGGCAGAAGCTTTTAGTGTCGGGGGGAGGGAAAAGAAATATAGGGAGAGGAGGGGAGTAAAAACGGGTTTCATCAGGGTATTGGAGGAAAGGAGAAAAATGTTTTTTTAATATACAAGCCCAATGTGCAATACCAAAATGGATACAGTATTTTCACGTACTTCTGGGTAGCCTTAATAAAATTTGAACACATTAAATATAAAATGAGTTTTTTAATGGAGAAATATATTGGAGGTTCTGCAGAGAGAAAGTCTGATATCATAGTGAAGAGGTGAGAAAGTGGTCTGCTGCGGTATTATTAGCTCAGAGTTATTTTTAAGCTGCTGCAAACTAGAGACTATGGCAAAATCTGAAAACGCCAGTAGCCTAACAAGTTGGTTTCTTAAGAAAATACTGTATCTAGAACAAGGATTGCGATCAGATGTTTATGTTTAGTTGGAGCCAAAAAAACTTAAAGTAGGATTGTTTCAACTAAACAGACAAGACATTCGCTTTATCATACACAAGCAGTAATGAGTCACAGAAATTAAAATGTTAGAAAGTTTAAACTCACTAGTCAAATTATCGTCACCTTCTTCAGCTATCTGTTCTGTGTCACTGTCATCAAACTTTATGTCTTTAAACCACGATGGCTCAGAGTGTCCTTCCACAGAATTCACGGAGTCACTGTCTGGAGAAGGGGTCTCGGAAAATTCCGTGCTCTGGGAAGATCAAGACAAGAGCCAAGTAATTCCCCTTCAATGGCAACACTGCGAGACTGTCACACTACAAATAAACACTAGCCCGATACTTCTACAAAGCTAACCGCTGAATAAATTTACATAAAATTAAGCTAATAGAAACTAAGTTGCAAACCAACATTATGCTGACAATTCCACTCCTAAAATTAAAATTCTCATTAATCAGTAGATTTAGGCAGCACATTATGAGCAGAACATAACATACAGACTTTACAGTGTTTCATTTCATCCTTTTAAGTCCTGAGAGTGAACATGGCTTAGAATTTATTCGAATCCTGTGCCGACCCTAGGACACATTCTAGAAAGCAACTGTTAAATTTAAACAAATAACATCATACCATTGTCTTTTCTAAACTTTGAGTTTCCAATTTTAGTTCACAAAGGTACTACTAAACATGATATTCGACAAATTAACAGAAACCAACAGTGAAAGCTTATCTTTAAGAAGTTAAAAGATCAATTTTAAATAATCTCCACCTCCCTAATCAAAATAAAAAGATATAGACACATCCACCATTTTACCATTGCTACACAATATAGCTAATGTGTCGAAATCTACCGCATTGGTGATACTAAATTTTTTCAACCATTTAGTTATATATACTCTCTTTTAGTCCTAAAACCACAGACATCATAAAACCGAAATCCATTCAAGGCAAATGACAAGCAACTGTAATACAAGGCCAAGCTTAAGTAAGTAAAGCCATACCGACTGAAAAGTGTCTGATTCCAACTGGTTTTTCATACCACTACTACCAAGTAAACAACAGAGAAAACGTGTTAAGAAAATGTATCTCTGGGTATTTCAACTACTTTTTATTCCCAATGATGAATAAAGACTTCACAAGCGAGCTATCATCTGGTTGGCGGGGACATGGGAAACTACCTGCAATGGTCTGTACAGTGCATACTCGTCCCTGAAGAGCTGGTCATGATGACTGACACAGTCCAGCCACCGTCCATCGACCATGGCTTGTCCGATTGCTATAGCCTGTGCCCTGAATTAAGACCAACAAAAATAAAACTTTTAAAAATCAGACTAATTTCACAGGTACAAGATGAGACACAAACTGAATTTTTTTCCATTCTCATCAGTTGAAATTTCAAATGGTCCATGGATAGGTGAAGGGTAAAAGAAGCATGACCTGGAGCTAAATTAAAAGATTTTTGCAGGTACCAGAGTAAAGGAGAAACTGCTGGTAAGGCAGTCCTACCAAAAACTAATTTTAATTACAACAAACACGTCCCAAGTGCTCAGTGCATGCATACCTTCTTATTACTAGAGTAAAAACAAAGGGGAAAAAAAGAGAGAATAGGAAAATAGCATGGGTCCTGCCCTCAAGGAACTTACAGTCTTGGCAAGACTAGGATACCACATATTACAGATATATCTATGAAATATATACACACACATACATGAAATAGACACAACACATTGTATTTACATGGCATTTCACAATTTATGAAGCTCGTTAGCCCATATTATGAAATAATATCCTCAGGGCTTCTTCACAGAACCATATATTTTCCTCACATTGGAACTGAGAGGTCCAAGTCTCAAAGAGATTAAATAACCTGAGTAAAAGCACAAAACTAAAAGAAATATAGGCAAAACTGGAACCCAGAGTTCACTGCTAACCCTCTGACTCTCTTCCGACATACTTGTCTCTTCCCAGGAAAGGAGCAGCAGCTAATCTAATCATGTAGAATAGCTTAGGGATGTGATACCCTGAAAGGCAACAGGACTGTCTCTTTTTCACAAATGTTTATGAGGTGACCTAGGCCACTACAGGCATGACTTACAGGCTCCATTCCCAAGATAGGTTGCAATGTCCAGATTCAGGAACAGTAGCAGGAGAATCCACTGTGTTCTTAATATCTAGCTACATTCCCCAATCCTGCTTAATCAGAGAGCTCTGTGTTTTGGGAATTACTACACACTTCTGCTTTTAATAAATAAGATAAATTGTGACCCCATTTGGCTCCTTGCATCTGTTTGCTACTAGCTAAAAGCTGGAAGAGAGAAGGGGTGACTAATTAGCACCCTAAGCTCCAAATGCAGGAAACAAATAGCACCCTAATCACAAACCTTGCTCCCCTTACTTAATATCTCAATGCTATGGCCTCATTAAAAATAAATAAATAAATTATATCAAAAACTCTTTCTTAAGATCACATTACCTTGTAGCAATGTGCCCATTTCGGATTAACCAGTTGACTAATTCTTTTCCCACAATGCAGTTGGGATGCGTTCTCAGCCAGTACCGGTGATCCTGAAACTCCATTCCACTACTGTGATGGCAGATTTTCTTCCACAGATCCTTTAACTGAACACTGTCCTGAAATCACATTATCAGCAAATAATTACTCCTGAGAAGGATATGACACATCTTTTCAAATTCTCTCCTGTGATTTTTAGACTCATAAAAGGAAATTCAACTTAGATTTCTTTGTGCTCACGATTTAATAAAAATGACATGTGCATGGAAACAACTTGAACTCAGCTCATCTAATTTCAAACATACCATTTTCTCTTAAAAACCACCATCCCTAATAAATCTTTTCAGTCAATGGCACGTATGACCTATCTCCTAGTTATCTAAGTACAAAACAGCATATCGTCACTGGAAACAAGGCAAGGAAGAAGACACATCATCAGTCACACCACTCTGTTTCCTGTGGTGTGACAGTGTCACATCACTCTGCCAGCTTCTCACCATTCTCACCTATACCTAACTGCCTGCTGCACTTTCCTAAAGAAAGGCCTTCAATGCATTCCTCCCTGCTCAAAATCACTTCCAAAGTTGCTCAGCACCTACAGATTCAAACTAAACTTGTAAAGGTTGAATTCATTATGTTCTACTGGGTAGCCTCAAGTAACTTCCATTCTCACGGCCCATAGGTTCCAACTTAATCTCTCCCCCAACCTCTCTCAACTAATAAATTCTACTTTGGTCCATGGAAAATGTCATGGTTGTTTTCACCTCTATACTCTGTCACAGCTTTAAATAAGATTTGTTTTGGGGCACCTGGGTGGCTCAGTCAGTTGGGCATCTGACTTCGGCTCAGGTCATGATCTCACGGTTCGTGGGTTCCAGCCTCGCGTCGGGCTTTGTGCTGACAGCTGGCTCAGAGCCTGGAGACTGTTTCAGATTCTGTGTCTCCCTCTCTGTCTCTGACCCTCCCTTGCTCACGCTGTCTCTGTCTCTGTCTCTCTCTCTCTCAGAAATAAATAAAACATTTTAAAAAATAAATAAATAAATAGGATTTGTTTTCCTCACTGCCTACCCAAATCCATTCCATCCTTCAAGGTCCAGGTCAAGCCCTTCAGTGTACAGCCTTTTCTGACTCCCTCACTACTAGTGATCTTTCTATTTCTTATTATTAAAGTATTACTTGTTTTACTATTTAGGACCTGCCCATCAGCCTCATTTCTACGTTCTGAATTGTAAGCTTGAGAACCAAAGCCATTTTCATTTCTTTGACTCATTCCCAGTATTAAACACAGTTATCTTATACACAGATAAGTTCACTAAACAACTGATTATTATCTCACATAAACATACAGCAGTAAATGTACGCAAAGCATTTCACGTGTATACAAAGCATCTTCTAAAGTTTAAAACCAATCTGGGACCTAAACAAAAGTTGAGCTCCTATGACGTAGGCACCTGAATTCTGATCTTACCAGATGAATGGGGTAAAGCAAATATTAATGCAAATATACAAGCATGGAATGCCTGACCACTTTATTTCGTCTATTAACTTATATGCTGACTATTTGCAGGTTTCTTAGAAAGAAAACTCAGTGAGATAAACAATCTTTATGCTCAAACTAGCAACAGGTCAAAGATACTGGACCAGGGACGCCTGGGTGGCTTAGTCGGTTAAGCGTCCGACTTTCGCTTAGGTCATGATCTCGCGGTTCGTGGGTTCGAGCCCCGCGTCGGGCTCTGTGCTGACTGCCAGCTCAGAGCCTGGAGCCTGTTTCAGTCTGTGACTCCCTCNTCCGACTTTCGCTTAGGTCATGATCTCGCGGTTCGTGGGTTCGGGCCCCGCGTCAGGCTCTGTGCTGACTGCCAGCTCAGAGCCTGGAGCCTGTTTCAGTCTGTGACTCCCTCTCTCTCTGACCCTCCCCTGCTCACGCTGTCTCTCTCTCTCTCCTAGAAATAAAACATTTTAAAAAAAAAAGATACTGGACCAGTACCAGAAGAATTTTGCGTTCATCCTCAGTGGTCTCTGTCCTAATATACGTTCGGTTAGCCTGGGGACTGACAGATGTCTCATATGAAGACACCATGGGAGAACCAGATCGATCCAGTGACAGGTTAGTAATGCTGGCTGACCTGGAAATAAATACAAAAGGCGAAAACACAGTTGTAAATTCTTCATCAATAAATTAGTGAAAATTCTTTTTTTTTTTTTAAATAAATGCTTAGTTGCCAACATTAAGGGTACTTTTAAATGTACTTATGATGGCTATGTATGGTATTATCATTAGAAGCTGAGAGACAAGTTATCTAAAAATTCTCCCTACTGTGTCTCCAACTTCTATGTTAGTTTAAAACTATTTCAGAGTAAGTTCAAAGGAAAGTCACTATAGAAAGATTACAGGAGAGCAATGGCAAATGTAGTTCATATATTAGTAATATTTCAAAGGAAACAAATACAAATTCTAGTTAAAATGATGAAAATTCGTGAGTGGGTTTTTTGTTTTGTTTGCTTTTTGATTTTTAGCTGACATATAAAAGAATCACAGACTAAATGCAGAAATAATCTTGCAGATCAGAGATAGGAAACTATGGCCTACAGGCCAAATAGTTTTTGTATAGCTGATAAACTAAGAGTATTCTTAGATGAACATCTATAATGTTCTGATAAGAGAAATTACTATGAACCCCACTAAGCAAATGTTATCCCCCAAAAATAATTCCTTTCTTATTAGTAGACCTGCATTGTTATCTTCAATTATATTTTGAATTTGATCAATTAAAAAATGAGTGAAAATCTGTTTCCTCTTATTATATTATTATTTACATAATATACTTCATTTTGTCTCTTGGGAAAGTGACTTGTAAGTAGAATATCAATAGCATCAAGCAAGCTTTTATTTATTAAAAAACTATAGCTAGAAATTTAGCTAGCTTCTACTCAGAAAAATTGAAACAAAATTTTTAGCTTCTATGTAAAGGATAGAAAGGAAGGAGCATCTACAAGAAGTCAGGCACTATGTAACTCATTTAATCTGCACGACACACTATGAAGTAGGTACTACTAAATCCATTCTGCAGATCAAGAAATCAAGAACCAGAGATTAAGTGATTTATCTAAGGGAACTCAGCTAATAACAAGGCTGCCGTTCAAAACCGGTGTCAACTGAAAAACTGCTCTCCCCAGGACAAAGATAAAGACACTTTTAAAATAACTTAAGGGGTGGTGCACCTGGGTGGCTCAGGCGGTTAAGCCTCCCAGCTTTGGCTCAGGTCAAGCTCTCGTAATTCATGGATTGAGCTTCAGATCCTCTGTCTCCTCTGTCTACCCTTCCCCCGCTATGCTCTCTCTCTCCCTCTCTCAAAAACAAACAAACATTAAAAAAGATTTTTTTCCTCAGTTTTTTAAAACCTCAAACTCTCCAGTAGCTTCACATTTCACCCAGAGTAAATGACAAAGTCCTTACGCTTCACGGCAGAGACACTCTACTCCGGGTACACAGGGCCTTTTGTTACTCTTTGCCAGGTGTGCTCCTTCTGGGAATTTGCTGTTTCCGGTTTTCACGGTACATTCTTCTACAAAATGTGGACATGGCTCATTCCCTCACATCCTCAGGTTTTTGCTCAAATGTCACCTTCTCAGTGAGGTCTTCCCTGACCTCACTATTTAATATCCCAATCTCTACCCCTATGCCTTACTGCTTTTTTGTGCTTTCAGTTCTTGTCTGTTTGACTCTCTGCTGTATTGCACATACCTAGTTTGTAGGTAATTAATGATACTTGTTGAAAGAACAAATTAAAAGTACATTAAACCATGGTCATTCAGATGTCTAGTTCTCCAGGTTTATAACTACTTAGTCAACACTTACCCTTGTAAAAAAGAAAGCATTTTCAGTGAAGAGGTGTGAACATTAATAAGATCTAGTAAGATGAAAAATGAGGAGGAAGTGTGCAGGTATAGAATGACTACGGCAACTATTTAAGGACTTGGGCTAAGAAGAAAAGAAACAATTAAGAATATAGGTACTAGAGATGAACCATAAAGGAGAAATTTTTGTTTGTTTTTAAAAGGTGACCTGAGTTTGTTTAAATGCTAACAGTAAGAAGTCAGCAAACTGACTATTGATGTACAAACATCAATAGGATAATTAATAAACAATGAGCAGGGATGGGATCCAGAATACAAATGGAGAATTAGCTTGGTCAAGAGGTAGAAAAAAAAAAAAAGAGCTCTAAATGTAATCAAGTTGGTAAGTGGTTGTAAGAGTTAAGGAAGTGTCCATCTGTTCTCTCCTCTCTTCACTATATAATAGAAAATAAGGCCATCTGCTAAGCTAGAAGGAAGAGGATGCTGTGGATTCCAAGATCTGAAGCCAGCGGGAATACTAGAGAAGAGACACTGAAGAGAATGCAAGCCAGAGCTAACTAGCAAAAGGGAAAACAACAGTTTAATTCAGCTTTTAGAGCTAAGAAAGTATTACAATCGATCTCACCCGTTTTCATCTGTTTGTTCTCATGACTGTGAAAGAACGAAAAATTCAAACACACAATACAGAGCTTTCATTTGGCAGCTTACCTATTTCGAGCAGGAGATTTCCCAGCATCTTCTTGAACAGATACAAGCCTTGTTGAAAGAGGAGTATTTGAGGAGTCTGGATGAATCAAACTATCAAGAAAGTAGAAAAATATGGAGAGGATTTGGGACAGTAACAAGCAAATCCAACTTCAATGAAGTGCTTTAACGTTTATTTTTTTTTTTTAATATTTTTATTTATTTCTAGGAGAGAGAGAGACAGCGTGAGCAGGGGAGGGTCAGAGAGAGAGGGAGATACAGACTCTGAAATAGGCTCCAGGCTCTGAACTGGCAGTCAGCACAGAGCCCGACGCGGGGCTCGAACCCACGAACCGCAAGATCATGATCTAAGCGAAAGTCGGACGCTTAACCGACTAAGCCACCCAGGCGCCCCAATGCTTTAACATTTAAAAGCTAATTGTGTGATGCCTGGGTGGCTCAATAGGTTGGGCGTCCCACTTCGGCTCAGGTCATGATCTTGTGGTCCATGCATTGAGCCCCGCGTCAGACTCTGTGCTGACAGCTCAGAGCCTGGGCCTGCTTTGGATTCTGTCTGTCTGTCTGTCCGTCTCTCTCTCTCTCTCTCTCTCTCTCTCTCTCTCTCTCACTGCCCCTCCCCCACTCACGCTGTCTCCTTTTCTCTCAAAAATAAAGTTTTGAATAAAAGCTGATTGTTTTCCTCTGCAATGATGAGATTATGAGTCAGTTTTCTTTTCTTCTTTTAATTAAGATAGAAACTGTTTTTTACATTAAGTACATCAAATGCCAAAAGATTGGTAGTTTATTAAGCATATAGTACGCCCTTAAAATAATACATTGGTTGGATAGGCACTTCCAGCACTCCTTCATCCATCATATACACAAAACTGAAGTGACTTTGGGAGGAAATCCTGAATTCAAGTATTTTGAATTCAGTCACCATAACCCGCTGGAATAGCACTGCAGAACTGGACAAACCTAGGTCCAATTGCAGGCTCTCCATCTGACTAGCTGTATGACCTTGGGTCCATCACTCAATCTCTCTGACCCTCAGCTTCTACATCTGTCAAAAGGAGAAAGTAATGCCTATCTCAGAGATACGAAAACTAAAAGAGAATGAACTTCAAACAATTAGCACAGAACTAAAATTATTCTACCTTTGACATCAATCCTACATCTCTCAGGAAGCTTTCAAAATCTAGCTTACTAGATAATACTTGCCAATTCTGGGCTCACACAATAGGGCCAGGTACAACTAAAAGGCATTACTAGCTAAAGTAATCAAGAGCTGAGAATTCCTATACTTTTTAATTTATTTTATACCTTTTATTTCCTATACTTTTTCTATTAAATGTAGAATCAATCTTTAAAATTTATAAAATACATGTAACGTATAAAGAATCATGATGCCACAAATAACAACGCACCATTAGCACTGACTCTGAAATGCTTATATTTCCCCTACCCAATCCCTCTGGGCTCTCAAAGAAACTATGGTTTTAAATTTTGTATTTATCATTCTCTTCCTTTTCTTTAAGTTTACCTCGTTTGGATACCTAGACAGTGTGGTTTTGTATATTCCTGAACTTCATAAATAATCACTGTTAAATCCGGGCCCTTCTTTTCTACTACACATTAAGTCCCTGAGATTCACACATGTAGAATGTAGCTATAACGTAGTCATTCTTGACTTCTGTTTAACTTCTTTGGTTATATATTACCTTTGAGGGATGACTGATAAAATAACTTATAAATAAGAAAGAACCTAATTAAAACTCTAAGCTACTTGACATGGCCAGGTTTAGCGTTATACATAAGAATATGACTTAGCTAACAAAAAAAATCAGAAACTAATGAATCTAGGATTCATGGAAAAACATGAAATGTTCTTAAGGGAAGAAGAAAATCTAATTTAATTTACAAATATTATGAATAAAAATCTTAAGAGCATTCTCTTTCTCTAAGAAAGCTACATTAGAAATTAATCTCGGGGCACATCTGTCTGGGTGGTTGATTAAGCATCTGATTTCTGATCTCAGCTCAGGTCATGATCTCACAGTTCGGGACAATGCAGAGCCTACTTGGGAGTCTCTCTCTCTCTCCCCCTCTCAAAATAAATAAACAAACCTAAAAAAAAAAAAAAAGAAATTATTAATCCCAATAACTTCTGTTGCCTATTCAAGAAATATTAGCAAGATCATATATACGCCATACACTATTCTCAGTGCCAGCAGATAGAAGAGTGAGCAAGAATGATATAAAGTCTCTCCTCTGGCAGAGCTTACGTTCTAATTAGGCAGTATCATCACTATCCATAAACATTCCATGATCCTTCTGAAGAAAGCCAAAGAAAAAGGTGTAGGAATTTGTAGGAAACAATTCAAAGAAGATAAATATTAACTGAAGGCACTCATAGGTCACAAGACCATCTGTAGCTCTCAAATATAAATAAAATTATAGTTAAGTGATGGTACCTTTGCCAGGCAAAATCATCCTCTAAAAATATGTTGCGGCTGGCTTTTCTACTTCCAACAGGCGTTCGAGGTTCACTTGGATCAAGTACAGACACAGAAGAAGCTGAATCTGAAAGAGCATTCAAGTCTTCCCCAATGGAATTACTGTCTGTGGAATGAGCATAACTTAAGGCTATTTTTCTACAGTATGTGCAAGCTCGGAGGTCCCCTACGAGGGAAAACAAAACAAGAAAATTAACTTAAAAGATAACAACAACAGGTACTTAACAGAAGACATTAAATTCTTGGGTTAACAGTTACAAGTGACAGGAAAACACCTTCAAGTAAAGACTATCAAAAAAGAGGTTTTAAACGATGCTCAGCATCCCTCCTCATCAGGGAAATACAAATCAAAACCACACTGAGATACCACCTCACGCCAGTCAGAGTGGCTAAAATGAGCAAATCAGAGAACTCTAGATGCTGGCGAGGATGTGGAGAAACGGGCACCCTCCTACACTGTTGGTGGGAATGTAAACTGGTACAGCCCCTCTGGAAAACAGTGTGGAGGTTCCTCAGGAAACTAACAATAGAACTCCCCTATGACCCAGCAATAGCACTGCTAGGAATTTACCCAAGGGATACAGAAATGCTGAGGCATAGGAGCACATGTACCCCAATGTTCATAGCAGCACTCTCCACAATAGCTAAAACATGGAAAGAGCCTAAGTGTCCATCAACAGATGAATGGATCAAGAAGATGTGGTTTATCTATACCATGGAATACTACATGGCAATGAGAAACAATGAAATCTGGCCATGTGTAGCAACATGGATGGACCTTGAGGGTGTTATGCTGAGCGAAATAAGTCAGGCAGAGAAGGACAAATATCATATGTTTGCACGTATAGGAGGATTAGGAGGAACTTGACGGAGGAACAAGGGGGAGAAGAAGGGCGGAAATGGTGGGGGAAAGGGAGAGAGGCAAACCATGAGAGACTCTTGAATGCTGACAAAAACTGAGGACTGACGGATGTGGGGGGGGGGATGGGCATGGAGGAGGACACTTGTGGGGATGAGCACTGAGTGTTATGTGGAAACTAATTTGACAATAAACTATTTGTAAAAAGAAATAAAATAAAATAAAATAAAATAAAAAGATGGTACAAAAAAATAAATAAAATAAAATAAAATAAAAGAGTATTTTTCAAAAAAATAAAAATAAAAGTTATTTTCCAAGATTCTAAAAGCGAAGTAAGGGGCAGTAGGTTCAAGGAAAAAAATTTTTCAAATAGAGTAAATAAACCAATACAAATGGAAACAACAGATTTTCCCTGGGCAAGAAAGGAGGAAAACGTTACAATGGTCTCCATTGTGAAGTCCTAAGAGTGGCCTCCACAAGAGGGCACCATTTTAAAAACAAACATAGAAAATGGGCTTACAAGCAGTATGGAATACATAGGGGAAACTATTACAGAAATTCTTATAGAGAATGTAGGATGGAAATGAAATATTCTTCAGAGGACAAATAACAAGGTTATTTAGTACTCTCATACACTGTAAGTTTTTTTAGAACACAGCCCTGCCCAAATAATTTTAAGTTTTCATTTCTACCCTATTTTTCTGTAACAATTATTCATATGATTCTGTAACAGTTTAGTGTACTAAGAAAAAGTCAGATAACTAAACTTCACAAATAACATGTTATTGAACAATTCTACCTAATTTTTTTTTATAGGAAACTGAAGTGGAAAACTAAAGTGAAAAAAAATTTTCTTAAAAGCAATTATACTGTTTTTACCATAATTACTACCAAGTATAATGAATGGCATTTTAGAGGCGCCTGGGTGGTTCAGTCCATTAAGCGGCCGACTTCAGCTCAGGTCATGATCTCATGGTTTGTGAGTTTGAGCCCCGCATCAGGCTCTGTGCTGACAGCTCGGAGCCTGGAGCCTGCTTCAAATTCTGTGTCTCCCCTCCCTGTCCCCTCCCCTGCACGTGAGTGTGCTCGCTCGCTCTCTCTCTCTCTCTCTCAAAAATAAACATTAATAAATGGTATTTATATTTTTTTCAAGACTACAACTATGTAATGCTTAGTTTTGTTAAGTTATGCATATATTTTAAGCAAAATTAAATACCACTTATTGTATTAAAACTAAAGAAAAATATATCCACTGCAATCAGGACTCAAAAAAGTGACCTCCAGTCTGGGATAAATGAGAGTGTGAGGACATACCACCATCAGCTGACCAAAGTAGAAATGCAGTAAGGAAGTGAAATCACATCCTTGCAGAAAGGTCTTTAAGTTCCCACAACAAGGGCTGGTTTGTTTCTTACTCTAAGGAGAGTTCCCTTAACCAGTCAGCTATCAGAATAAAAATGATCAGACCAACACAGCCAAGCCTGAACATGAAAGTTTTCATTGCCTAAAGAATCTTTATCAGCAAGTGCCCATGAACACATGCCTGCGGTATATGATGGGATACCAAGATGGATGAGACACAGCTCTGCCGCCAAAGAACTCAGTCCACTGAGGTGAAAGACACACATACAATGAAAAAGTTACATGACAGATACAGACATATTACTGCTACTACCACCAATAACTGCTTGATATGCATTCATCCCTTCCCATGTGCCATTCATTCTTCTAGGTACTTTACGTTTATTCACAACTACAACATACAATTGCGTCCAGCATGTATTATCTCATTTGCAATGGGTTAATTTTATGTGTCAACTTGGAGAGTTGTTTGGTCAAAGAGTAGTCTAGCTGTTGCTGTTAAGGGTTTTTTTAGATATGATTAACAGACACAATCTGTTGACATTAAGAAGATTACCCTCTATAAAGTGGGTAGGCCTCCTATCTTAGAAGACTTTTGTCAAATCAGCAGGTATAATGAGACAGGCTGGTTGCTCTTAACTGTACTAGACAAAGTGGGGAGATGGGTAAGGAAGAAGGATCATCTCAAGAATTCAAATTTCCAGGTCAAGAACCGTACAAATTACCTGGAAGTTCCTATGTCTTCCCTGAAAGAAATCATTACCTCCTATAGCAACAGAGTTGAAAATCAAACTAAGAGTTTCATCCTGCAAGTGGCTAAATTACAACACACACCAAATTATTAATCTTGTAGTATGACTGCTATTAAAATAAGGGCACTGATTAGGAAGGAATGGAATCCTGTAAGGTAGAATGGGGATATACAGAAAGATCCTGAGGACGCTGCGGACACTAAACCCCAAAATTCTTCTTTCAGAAGTCTCCTTTCTTAGCCTTTACACTCTGTCAGAGATTAACCCTGCTTTGCCTGAGAAATCCAAAATGGACTGAGTTTGCTACCTTACCAGACACTGCTTGCTCTCCTCAGGACCCATTCCCACTATCCACTTTGCTTCTAGAGTTATAACAAGACTCAAGTCCCCACAAGCCCTAAAATGTAAGGCATAGTGTGACCCATGAGAAGGTGCACTACATTCTGAAAGAACTATATGATTTTTCTAACTTACAGAGACCAAAACCCAGGGAACAGGTGTGGGAACAGGTATCAAAGATACAGAATAGTGGAAAGAACATCTACTAGGACCGAGCTGATTTTGATACGAGCCCACTAAGCAAAGATTCTGGATTGAATATCATAGCTAGAGGGGAAAAAAAAAAAAAGGGGGGGGGAGACTCTAACAGTCTGGTTGATTGGTTGGCTGGCTGAAACATGGACCAAAAGTGGCCTATACTAAAGGAAGCTGAAAGGCCACAACTCCCCTGGTATATGATGAAGGAAGGGATCCAAAGAAATAGGAAGATGATAATGTTTAGAGAGGATTTGCCAAGTAAGACCTGCTCACTCACCCAGGAGGATCTGGAGCATATGCCTTTCATGACCATGAGAAATAAATTTGTGAGGGGGGGGGGGGCCAGCATCTCTGCAGAGCTCTGTGGTTGCTCTTCTCTGTGGGTCAGAAATTGCAGTGGTAAAACTGCTGCCACTGAATTGGAAAACCTGGATGCAATGGAACCCATTAGATCCCAGGGGGGTGGGGGCCAAGTGTTGGCACTCAATTGCCAATGACAAGGTGGGCATGGATACTATAATAGACTGTAGAGTCAAAGCAGCAATCAGAATAGTCTGACTTGTAATGACCTATGGCATTGACCACGGTGTTCCTAGAAGTGAATTCAATGGGCAGTCCACTAAATTCTTACTTGATTCGTAGAAGAACTCTAGATCAAGTGGACAATAGTCTAACTTGAATTAAAAAGTCATGGCCCCTCAATTCTCAGACTTGAGTCATTTATAGACCTGGAATTCCATGAATGAAGCAGGAAACCTGGGTCCCCTTGAAGAAGAACCCTGCTCCACCACCAAAAACATATGCGGCCTTCCCCAAAGGGGCCTACAGCCTTTTACCAGGGTACTGTGCACTGAGAAAAAAGTAACAGTCAAACTTTGGGGGAGTTACTGGACTTTGGCTCTGAGGTGACAATGATTCCAAGAGACCCAAAATTTTATTGTACTCTGCCAGTCAGAGTAGGGGCTTACAGAGGTCAGCGGATCAATAGAATTTTAGCTCAAATCCCTCTTATCGTGGGTTCAGTGGTTATTCTCCCTCTTATAGTGGGTTATTCTGTGGTTATTTCTCAGTTCTAAAATACCTAATTGGAACAAACATACTCAGCAAATGACAGAATCTCTACGTTAGTTCTCTGACTCACGGAGTAAGAGCCACTAGGTAGTTCTGGCCTCCAGAACTGTGAGAAAATAAATTTCTGTTGTTGTAAGCTCCTCAGTTTGTAGTATTTTGTTATGGCAGCCCTGGGAAACTGACATACCGACCATATTAACAAGACGGGATTTTATCTTAAGGGAAATGGTCATTCTGAAAGGTTTTAGGCAGAGGAATAACCTGACATGATCAAATTAGCATTTAACAAAGGATGACCAGAGTGTGGAAAAGGAATTAGACAAAGCAAAAAACTAAAGGTAAAAAAAAAAAAAATCTTTTAAAGGCTACAGGCATAATCCTGGATGAAAGATAACTGAATTCTGAACTCTGCAGCAGTCCAGTGAGGGGGAAAAAAATATGAGTAAGGGTAAGAGGAAGACCGGCATGTTAACAAAAATAATTTGAGAGATGCTAAGAGTGTTTCTCTTTTTGGGAACTTCTGCCCACCTTCTACTCCCAAATCACTGTATAAATCCACATATCATTATTTTTTTCTGCTTCAGAAAATAATTTAAAATTCCCATATTGCTAAAATTTATGAGAAAACATGAATAAGATGCAATTGTCTACAACACAGTGTCATATATATAACTCAGGGAAGATCTGCATTTTGCAAAATGAAAACTCTCATAGTAATATACATTAGTGATCTTCCCTAACCACCTTGTTTAATAAATATTAACACTCCTGTGGTTCTCTGCACTACCTTTTACCCTAGTTATTTATGAGCATGTCCATCTACTTTATCATTCGACTACGTACAGCCCTTTACAACAAAGCTGCATCTCCCTCACTTGTGTCCCCCATGTCTCACACATGAAGTCCCAAATAAAAACTGGCTTCACATTGGTCCTGTATTTTAAGTGCTTATAGTTATGAACTTTGAAAACTGTAAAACTTTCAATAAAATGCATTTACCTGTATAGCCCATAAATTTTCCAGGGATTTCTTGATTACAGCAACGACTGCAAAAAATCTGCCCACACAGGCGGCAATGGTGTCTGCGCCTAAAGGTCGTAAATTTCTCACTACAGTCATAGCACTCTTTACATTGGCTATCTGGCATCCAATACTGCTTCAGGTCGCTGTCCTACAACAAGAAATATATGTGAAATTGAAAATGTGAAAAGATGCAATGACAAATATAATGCTAGTCAATACCCTACAAGGTTTCTTTTGCAGAAATTGACAAACTATTTTGAGAATTCATGTGGGAATGGAAATGGCCAAAATGACCAAGGCAATCTTAAACAAGACCAAGTTGAAGAACTTACATTACCAGTCATCAAAATGTATTCTGAAACTACAATAATTTTAGACAGAAAATCAGTTTAAGGATAGGAGAAAACGGAGCTATAGAACAGAAAAGACAGCCCTGGGTCACCCACACATGTATGTAGACTCACAACAAGATTTATAATACAATCAGTGAAGAACAGCCTTTCCAAAACAAAATTGGTTCTGGGTCCATCTAGACATCCATGAGAAAAAAAATAAAGCTTGATCCCAAAACTTCACATGAATAATGAAGAAACTATGGAGGACTATTCACTGACCATGGGCTAAATAAATACCTCTTAAACAGAAAAGCACTACCTTAAAACAAAAAGCACTAAACATAAAGGAGAAAAAAAATTGTAAAATTAAGAATTTATATGCAAAAGTACATATTCATAGCCGAAGGAAGTACTAACTGAACATTCTTTCAAGCAGCATTATGCCATTTTTAGTGAGTATACATGAGGCCCGTAGAGGTATTTGATAAGTCATCTCCTCAAGTACTTTACCTGGCTTTTCCCTTCCATGATTTCCTTGAGGCGTTTTAATACTGTGCTGAGGCTTCGAAGCTGAACAGCTGTACGAGGGTCATGACCTCCAAAGGCAGGCTCTGCTTTCCTTCTTGTGTCTGAGTCAGATTTACCACAAAAAACAAACAAACAAAAAAAAACACCACCACCAACCTTGTTATTAGTCCTTACTATCTATGCAAAAACAGGGCATATATGAAGGTATATATGTGATGTACAATGCCTTTTACTATTAACATAAATTCATGTCCTCCCAGCCAGCGATATGGATTGAGAGTTAAAACTAGGTGGCTCAGTCGGTTAGGCGTCAGACTTTGGTCTCAAAGTTAGTGAGTTTGAGCCCCATGTCAGGCTGCTGACAGCCTAGAGCCTAGAGCCTGCTTCGGATTCTGTGTCTCTATCTCTCTCAAAAATAAACATTAAAAAAAAAAAAAAAAAAAAACTAGTCTTTATAAAGGGAAGAGGCTGTGGGAAGTGTTTCTTATTACCATGTAAAACACTGCTTCACAGGCCAGAAACCGCTGCCTAAGACAAGCACTGTCTCAGACCACTGATAGCTTTGAGGCCTCAGCCAGATGCACTGCTTAAATGGCCCCCAAATTCATTAATGATTTACTGGGCTCTTTGGTCCCAAGTCATAATCAATACCCGCTAGAAATTGAGCAGGAGAAAAGGCAATCCCCGTGAGTTAACCTAGCTCAGCCTCTAGAGTCAAACAGTAAGCAACAGTCCGGTTCAGTCTACATGCAAAGTACCTAAAGCCTCACTGAGCTGACGATCAGACTTTAATAACCCGGCCCCTAGAGACTCTGTGGGGGCTCAGAACATCCAGGGTGGTAATCTACCCACAAAGTCCCTTCACTAAGTCTCAGAGAATTAAAAATTCCAAAGAAGTGCTGGAACTCCAACCCCACCCTTCCCCACCACCTCCTCAGCCCTGCACCTCCGAACTGGAAGGGAGCGAAGGGAGCGCTTACACTTAAATAGCAATACTGAAGCCAGTCCCATCAACGGCAAAACAAACCCAAATTCAGTTCTGCGGCCAAAATGGGTGTGCCCACCAAAGCTGTCAGTTATTTCTTTACTTTAGAGCAAGATTACCACTGAAGCTCCCGCCTATTCCCGGCTCTGCCAGTTACAAAACCTAAGGTTGAAAGGGTGGCTTGACAGAAAGACTGAACATCTCTGTTGGTTTAAACTCGTTAACCTACAGCAGATCACAGGAGAGAAAACACACCACCTTAAATCTTCTCAAACTCACTTATTTGCTAGATCTGCCTTAAGGGTTCTTTGTTTGGGTTGAGTGGGACAGAAAGGATTACCAAGAAATGAGAGGTTGGCCTCTAAACTGACAACTTCCCAAGGCAACTGAATCACAGAATTGAGGACTGAAACTGCACCTGTTAGAAAACTTTCTTTCTACAAACAGTAATACCCTAATTTCAGCAGGTAATTCTGAGGTGTTGAGACTAAAATAAAATGTGCAAGTATTAGAATGTCTGAATTTTTAAATATCACAATATAATATAAAGCAACTCTCCATAATTTGAGTTGAAAAAAGAGGCAGATGAAGCTGTTAGAATTCCAACAGCTGTGCTCCCAGGCAGGGACAACAAGTAATAGTGCAGTCCCTTCTAGCAGCACAGGAGTAGAACAGAGTACTAACTGCATCATTCACTGGAAAAGGAAGAGCAAGACCGTTCCTGGAACCAAGAGAATCACAGATCTCCGGGAGGAAATCTGGTCTAGCACTCTGCCCTAAATAACCTTAGTTGTTTCTCTTGTAAAATGGACATTACATAATTAAATGACTTTTCTAAAGTCACAGAGCTAGTAAACTGTGGAATTACAGCCTTTTATTAGAAAAAGGAACTTGAGGGGCACCTGGGTGGCTCAGTCGGTTGAGTGTCCGGCTTCGGCTCAGGTCATGATCTCACAGTTCGTGGGTTCGAGCCCCATGTAGAGCTCTGTGCTGACAGCTCAGAGCCTGGGGCCTGTCTTTGGATTCTGTGTCTCCCTCTCTCTCTGACCCTCCCCTGCTCACACTGTCTGTCTCTCTCTCTCTCTCTCAAAATAAATAAAAACATTTTTAAAAATTAAAAAAAAAAAGAAACAAAAAGGAACTTGAGGAGCACCTGGGTGGCTCAGTGGGTGAGGCATCCGACTTTGGCTCACGTCATGATCTCTTGGTTCGTTGAGTTCAAGCCCCACGTGCGGTTCTCTGCTGTCAGTGCAGAGCCCTGCTTCAGATTCTCTGGCCCTCTCTCTGCCCCTCCCCCACTCATGCACATAAGTGCATGCACGCACGTGCACTCTCTCTCCCTCTCTCAAAACTAAACATTAAAAAAAAAAATGAACTTGATTGGTCAAACAGTCTCAGGCTTCTGAACCTTAAATGCCTCTAGCAACTAAGGTAGAACCAAAGAATCAAACAGACTTGATAAAAGAAAGTAAGGAGTCGTGGGGATTGCAGCAAACTAGACTTTACAAGCTCCACCTTGTGATATTTAAATTCAAGTTTATCAAAACACTACGGCAAGGTGTGGTCGGGTGTCAGTTTGTAACCCTTAAAAGATGAGATTCTAGTCCAACTCCTCAATTTGACAAATAAAGAAATTCTATGCTTAATTCAGCATAGAATTTAGTCAGACCCCTCCACAAAAACAGCAGTGTTGCCAGAGGTCAAGTTCAAAAGCAAAGGAGCTTACTGAGCTTCAAGACTAAAGTGGGGATGGCCTCTTCCTTCCATCCATTCTCAGTAGAAGAAGAGCTCCTTTCTCTCTCCCCCACTTCCCACCTTCTGATTCTTCCTTCCAAATGGCTGAGGTAACCCAGGCTGAGGCTCACTGCCCCGGGAGTCTTGCAGCGCTGACACAGCCCGCCCGCTTCCGTCCTCAGGAGGTTGCGAACCGAGTCTCAACCAGCTAGATCTCTCTCATCAACCACCATTACCTGTGCCTGCCTATTTTTCACTCAAGGATCTCCTGGGGAAGACTGGCCAGACAAGACAGGATCTGGTGTTCAGGGACACTGGACTTCCAGTGCTACCCCCTCCTCCTCTGTTATGTCACCTCTCTCTGCCTTTCTCCTATCACCTTGAGCTGGCCAAGCCACTGTGCTGAGTTTAATAATCTAACAGAAATAAAACACAGAACAACTGACTTTGTCTTCTCTCATTCAGACACCGATGCCCAGCCTACACTCATCAGAAAAGCGTGAAAATGAAGGAGGTGACTACAGTGGACCAGGACACAGAACAGACAAGCAAGAGCTCAGCGTATCCAGCCACAATGACAGCCTGCATCCCAACAAGGACAGAAGGACAAGAGCAAGGGGCAGCCCACATGGCGCTGAGAGAGTTCCGCAGCCAGAGGCATGCATACCACGTCACACTAGCCATCCCAGGAACAGATGCAGAAGTAATTCACAAAGTTGAAACTAACCTGTGTTCTCCTGGGGATGCTGCAAACTGTTCTCTTCTGAAACCCAAGCAAGTCATTAATAAAAACATAGTCAAGAGATCTGCGCTTGACCGAACTTAAAATTTAACAAAATGCTTAAGAATTTTTTTTAGGTATCAACAAATTCTTTCACTATCTAGGTAACAGTTTCATAAATCCTGAAGAGCACCTGACTATTCCAAACAGCAGAAAAGTTAAGTCACGAAATAGCCTGGGAAACACGATGACTGGAAAACTCTAACACACAGAGAGGAGTGACAGAAGAACACGGTCTCACCTAATACCGCTGAAGATCGCCGCTGGAGTTCCTCATGAAGCTGTTTTTTATAAGGTATAGGTGACCTCACAGACTGCGTTCTTGAAGGGAGCTGAGGGCTGGTCCAACTGCCACTTAGAGAGGGCTGCTCCCCCTGGCCCCCTTCTGCTCGCTCTGTAGCAAAAGAAAGCTTGGCATTATTTGCAAAACTAAGACTCAGAGTTCGGCAAAGAGAAGGAATAGATAAAACTGTCCCAAAAACTAATGTATATATGTAATGCATGCATAACTAAAAATGAGTTAAAAAAAAAAAAAAAAAGAAATTCAAAGAAAATGGCAAAATTACGGGCCAATATTTCTTCCTTGGCATGTGATCTTCGGTTTGTTTTACTTTTCATTAGAAATACCTGGAGCATATTAAAGGAAACAGAAAGTAAGCTTCACATGAAGGCAGAGATTTTATTTTTTATCTGTTTTGTTTATGGGATAGATCCCATGCACTATTAACAGAGCGTGATCCTGGATAATAGGTACTCAATAAACATCTGCTGAATAAATAAAATTATTGTCTTATGATGACTAAATATAATGTGGTATCCCACATGAGATCCTAGAACAGGAAAAGGAGTTTACATAGAAACTGAAGAATGAATAAAACACATATTTTAGTTTGTAACACTGTATCAATAGCGGTTCATTAATTGTAATAAGTGCACTATACTACTGTAAGATGTTACTAATAGGGAAAACTGGGTGGGGGAGTATATGAGAATCCTGTATCCTGTATGATCGTCCCAATTTTTCTGTAAATCTAAAAGTAAACAATAAAATTCTTCTAAAAATTCATTACCTTAAAAATGGACTAACAGGAAGAGATTTCATAGAGCTTTAAATTGACTACTAATAAAAGTCAGTTAATACTGGGGATCCTGGGTTGGCTCAGTCAGTTTCGACTCTTGATCTCAGCTCAGGTCATGATCTCACCGTTCATGGGATCAAGTCCCCCATAGGGCTGTGTGCTGGCAGCGCTGAGCTGCTTGGGATTCTCTCTCTCCTTCTCTCTCTGCCCCTCTCCTGCACTCTCTCTCTCTCTCTCTCACTCAAAATAATAAATAACCTTAAAAAAAAAAAGTCAGTTAATACTACTAAAATTTCTCCAGAACTAATTAAGCTATTAACCCTCAAATTCCTTACAAGAGGGATTACTTTCTAATGCATTTCAAATAATACAGCGAAATATAAAGCAGAGAAAAGAGACCGTATATATATATATTTTTTTAAACAATTACTTATTTATTTTGAGAAACAGAGAGAGAAAGAACATGCCAGCAGGAGTGGAGCAGAGAGCGTGAGAATCCCAAGCCAGCTCCGTGCTGTCAGCACAGAGCCCAACACGGGGCTCCAACTATTGAACCGTGAGATCATGACCTACGCCGAAGTCAAGAGTCAGATGATTAACTGACTGAGCCACCCAGGCACCCATAGGCCATATTTTTCAAAAGTTTTCTTCCAGGTAAAAGATATATTACTTAAAAAGAATTCACTTAGAAAGTACTTTTTCACTTCCAGTTAGAGAATGAACAAGTCATGGAGATAAAGATACAGTCAATGGTACTGCAATAACGCTGTATGGTGACAGATGGCAGCTGCGTTTGTGGGGAGCACAGCATAATGTAGAGACTTGTCCAATCACTATGCTGGACACCTTAAACTAGTGTAACATTGGGTGTCAGCTATATGTCAGTTGAAAAAACAAAAATGAAAAAATAAAAATACAGAAGATCCCAATTAAGGGACATTCTGTGAAATATTTGGCTGTTCTCTACAAAAATGTCCATCTCACAAAAGACAGAGAACAGGAAACGAAAGACAGATGAAAACTACATGCGGTATGTGATGCTGGACCTGATCCTGGAATGGAAGTTTTCTTTTGAGGGCAACGCATTTGTTTGGAATTCGGACTGTTGATTAAAAAAAAGTACTGCATCGATGTTAAATTTCCTTAAATAAGTGAGTAAAAAGTAACTTTACATTTGCTATTACTACATTGACACCTCAATCTGACAGGTTTAAGTCAAGAGGCATGCTGACAGTTTCAATTTTGGAAAAATAGGAACCTTTCCTCCCAGGTGCTGATCTAGTTTTATGGCTTTAATTAAAATCTTTTGGCTATTAACCCCTATGAGAACAAAGTCCATTCTGTGAACTTAGGAAAGCTGAAACATATTACGAAAGGGGAACAAAGGCTAACTTCAAAGAGGGACCTCCTTTTAACATTATTTTTCAATTCAGATCTTCAGTTACCAATAACTAGTAAGATGGCAGGGAAAATTCCAGCTTTGTCCTCGTAAGCGGCAAACCCCAACGACCTATGATTAAAGCTATCTCCTTGTTGATCTTTCACATTCTTACAAAGACACAGCATGAAAAGCTGAACGAGAGAATTTCAGAAAATCAAAATTACAGGTTCTCTGATCCTTAAGAGCAAGACTTACCTTTGTTAAATCGAAAGAGATTTACAAAAGAACTATACGCTGATTTAAAAGGAGGTTCGTCCTGATCAGGAGTCAAAGGTTTAAAGTGTGTGAGATGAGAAGGACTAGTAGGAGATCGAGGCAAATCATTAGCGGACTCCAATGTCGGGGACGTCTTATCATCTGTGGCCATTTCATGAGTCTACAAAACAAAAGACAGGAGTCCTGAAGGAAGCCCAAGACTTGATTCCAAACAGCATCCCTAAATACCTGGACACCTGACTCTGAAAACTCAGATCTCCAAAACCAAAGAGGAAATAAATCTAGTTCAGCATACATTGCAAATTAAGGCTTAAAAACACTGCAGTCCAGATCATAAGGGTCTCACACGACTGAAACTATGATTACGCAGTCAATCTAATTTTCCACATTGTCGTTCAATCCACAGAAAATATAAAATGATTAATAGTGGAGGTAAGGTACAAATGTGAGCTGGGAAAAAGTAACAGCATTTTCACATAATTTGTATCTTTTCCATTTTAAGATTTTTTTTGGAAAAAGAGATCATAGCTTTTTCGAGTTATGGGGGAAACTGGTTTTACACAAGCATACTAACTCCTCAAAAAATTTTAATTTATTTCCCTTTTTCTTTTAAAAACATAAAACATAAATATTTCCAAGAAAAGAAAATGAAACAGTCATCCCTTAATGACACTTCTAGATAGCCTCAAAGATGACCTCGAGCTGTGCCTCATCCCCTCAAGAACTATTCAAATCAACACGCTGTTCCTATCATCTCTCCTTCTAGGCACATGAACTTGGTTTTTCTCCCTTTAAGCATAACTTCATATAGACATTAAAATGAAGATCTTAAAGGGCTTTTTTTTTTTAAATAACAAAAATGGTAATTCAACCAAAGTAATAAGCATAAGCACATCACCAGATGGAGGGTAGAGAAAAACACTGATCTATTTTCTGCTATATTAACCCTTCAAATTAATGAGAACCATGAACCTTACAGAACTACAGTCATTAAAGTACTATAGATGACTTTTGATTTTTGTCATCTACTCTGCATTTTACAAAGAGGACATCACACACTCCCATAAAATGCTTTTCAGTTTCAAAATTGTATTTACCATCTCATTTTAATTTTATAAAACTCCTGGAGAGCACACAGAGCTGGCCTTCTTACACTTTGCCTGTGAGGCAACCAATGCACACTGAACCTTAAATTACTTTCTTGAGGGTCACACAGCTATTCAGTCAGTGGTAGAAGTGTAATTAGGCCCCAAGTTTTATCCCAGAATTCCTCTCTAGATTGAAATTATTATTGTAGCTCTTCACAGACTTCCAATCCCAACCTATCTAAATGCCTGATTAATAATTTAATTGATTAATTAAAGCAGACATGAAACCATGGACTTGAACATGATTTGGCAATAAATGTTCATTGGTATGGCGACGGGGAGGGTGGGGGAGGAGTAAAGGAGAAAGGAAAAGAGGAAGGAGTGTTGAGGAAAAGGAGGAGGGAGAGAGATGGAAGAGAGAGAGGAAGGTGGGGGGAGAAGGGAGAGGATGGGAAGAGTGAGGGAGGCAGACGGAAAGGAAGAGAGGGAGGGAGAGAGAAGTTCTCTAATATCACCTTCTTTTGGGGAGAATAGTCAACAATCCTTCTAAGTTATCATGACGGGGCGCCTGGGTGGCTCAGTCGGTTAAGCATCCGACTTCGGCTCAGGTCATGATCTCACAGTTCGTGGGTTCAAGCCCCGTGTCAGGCTCTATGCTGAACACTCGCTCAGAGCCTGGAGCCTGCTTCGGATTCTGTTGTCTCCTTCTCTCTCTGCCCCAACCCCGCTCACACTCTGTCTCACTCTGTCTCTCAAAAATAAATAAATGTAAAAAAAATTACAATCCATATTTCAGCATAAAGGAATCAGAAGCAAGCTGCTAAATAAATTAGTGTCAACTCAAAAAGAGGGGGAAAGTGGGAGAAAAAAAGGAAGAAAAAAGAGTACTAAAGAGAAAGGATTATGTGATTGCAAACACCCCTCAGGCCTGGGAAAACAGTCCACATTCTACTCTGACATAAGTAACATCTGAGGCAGAGTCAGCAATCAGCATGAAGAATTTTAGCATTACTGCTGAGGGTCACCCATATGCAAAACTACTTAATAAACTTTGGAGATGTAAAGATAAAAATTACCAAGAAAACACTCAGCAAGTACAATCTCTGAAACATAAACACAATCACTTAGCTAACCTTAAAAAATTCATCATTACACCAGGATCTTGAAATAACTGCCTTACACCTCTTATTCTCTGGCAGCTTAATTACTGTCTATGACATAAAACTAGGATTCCTCACTAAGTGACAGGGAATTAGAACTATTAACCTGCCCTTTCAAATGCCAGCACTTTGCCTCTTATTTGAAAGCTATCCATATATACAGCCCCACCACACACTATCTCATTGAGTAAGCCAATATGAAGGCTAATCAGGTATTAAATGTAGAAAATAAGCCAGATTAGCCAATTTCGAAATTGTACAGCAGATGAGAAAACCCAAGTATCAGCTGAATAATTTCTGAATACAGGTTTTAAAAATACTCGAAACATATCCAATGCAGGCTAGCTGAATACTAGAGTTGTCAACAAAGATTCTGTTGTTCAATTTTTGACCAATGTGCCAACAGAAACCCTAAAGGAAGACCATAATGTGACCCACATTACTCTTCCCAGAAGCAGAAAATGGGCGCACACAGGAAAAGAAAAAGGGAAAATAGTTTTGCTCCACAGAACAACCTGCCCAATCTTTGTCAAAAGCCCAAACCCAATAAAACAAAAAACAAAACACAACAACAACAACCCACAGGTTATTTTTGGATCCTGACAGAGTGAGAGTTTTGAAGTGGCAGAAAAGGAGATTCAAATAAATTAAAAATAAGAGAGTGCAATACAGCAAGCCACTACCTCCATTGTCAGTGTGGTATTTGTCTTAAAAGAGGATGCACTGAATCAATAAATGATCATCTAACATATACCTACACACCTCAGATAAACTTAATTTGCTTTATACAGAATTCTAGCACTTCTCACATTTCTTGAATACCTTAAAAATAATAACCCCTCTATTGGACGTATCTTAACTCCCTAAAAACATCCATCGCATACTTCCTCACCCTCTTGCTGGAAACATTATAAGCAAAGGTAAAATAAATGGGAAATCAAGCCTCCTCCTGAAGAGACTTTGAAACACAGGTAGTAATGGGATGGACTCAAATAGCAGAAGAAAACATTTAAAGGGGTATGTTCATATTTGAAAAACCGACCATTGGTGTCGTCTTCTGTAGCTTAGGAACTTTCTTTTTCAGTCTACGGATGCACCTCTGACACAGACTAGGAGCCGATCCATCAGAGAGGGAAGAGGAACGGGACCGTGCACCTCCGAAACAAGCTGAGCGACATGGGACAAGAGACGGGCAAGGGAACTTGAGACGTTTCCAAGGAAACCTCTTCAAGAACAGCCGCACCCGGCTCCCTTCCCCGCTGGCCAGACCGGGGCAACCGGGGCATCGCGGAGCCGGGTTGCTGCGGGTATAGGTTCTCTGCCCTTCCTTGCCCAGCCTCGGCCACAGTCCGGCCTCCAGCCACGGTCGTGAAGCTCAGCTCTCGTCTTCACTCTAGCCTTCCCCTCCGCTCTGGCCCCGGAGCTCCCCAAACCGGCCTTCTTCCCCACTCTCAGCGCTTGCCGGCCGCGCGCCAGGCCCCCTCTCTTACCTGCGCCTCCCGCCCCGGTCCCGCCGGCCACCCTCCACCCCGGTCGCCGCTTCACCCCGTCCAAGAAGCCAGCTCCGGAGGGCAGCGACGGGGGTATTCGGGCCGCCGGCGGTTGCGGCAGGAAGCAAAGCCACTTACATGGTTGATGCGGCTTCCAGCTTCCCCCAAAGGCTCCGCCCTCTGTCCCTCCTCCTCTCCAATCCGCAATTCTCCCGGCCGCCGGCTCCGCCCCCTTCGTCCCGTCCGCGCCACGTTTGGATCAGACGCTCAGGCAAAATGAGTCGAGTTCGGATAGAGTCGTCCTCGACAGTTTGGCTGGTTCGGCCGCCTCAGCCTTCCCAGAGGAAGCCAGGGAGACTGCGCGCGTGAGCATCACGCGTGTCGGGTCACCGGACGGGTGCAGGCTGGGCCACCGCGGTTACCGTATGTGTTCGATGATATGGGCTCTCGTGCTATGTCACCGCGCTCATCGTTCCTGGGGACTGACATTCAGGAGAGCGAAGACTGTTGTCACACTTAGGTGACTAACCGCCCAGGTGACCTTAAGCAAATTACCAACTTCTTTAGGCCCCTGCCCTCTTAACTGTAAAATGGGGCTAATAACAATACCCACTTCACACACAGTTTTTGAAGATTAAGTAAAACATTGCACGTAAAGCATTTGGCACAGGGCCTTACGCAGAGTTAAGTGATGTGAGCTCTACTGCTAGTATTTTCATTCAAGTTGTGTGTTGCCAGGACTGGGTGCCAAGAAAATTACCAAGCTGGGTCTTGCTCAGCCTGGCTAGCATTAGTCCGTCTTTCTGTCCTGCTGTGGGCGTTGAGCCCTTAGCTGGAGAAACATGCTAAAACCCGCTGACTCCAACTGTGGGACTTGGCAGGGAGCTCAGAAAGGAAATGACCCCCAAAGTGAGATGCTGTTTTAATTAAATTCTTCAGGTCCTTTCCTCAAGACTTTTTTTTTTTAATTTTTAATGTTTTATTTGTTTCTGAGAGAGAGAGACAGTGTGAGCAGGGGAGGGTCAGAGAGAGAGGGAGGCAGAGAATCTGAAACAGGCTCCAGGCTCTGAGCTAGCTGTCAGCACAGAGCCCAACGCGGGGCTTGAACCCACGAACCGTGAGATGATGACCTGAGTCAAAGCCGGACGCTTACCCGACTGAGCCACCCAGGCACCCCCCTCAAGACTTTTGGCAAATCCCTACCCAGTGCTCCTCAAGTTGACCTCCTCAGTGGATGGACAATGGCATCAAAACATGAAGGCTGATACCACTACAGGGAAATCCCGATCCTGGGCCCCTAGGCAGTCATCCTAAGAGTGCCCCCTCTTCCCTCTGTCACTACTGTTCCACATCACACCACTCTCAGCACCCCCATTACCTTCACTATCAATCTCAGCAGAGAATCTCATCTACCTGAGTCAGAGTCAAAGGCAAAGGCTATTATGTATGACCTCTAACGCCCCACATATTTATGATTCTGAGTCTATTATTGTTAAGGTGGCACTATGCTTATATTCCCCTATTACGTATCAGTTCTATTTGTACTGAAAATAGCTTTTCCTTTCTCTTTTTTTATATTGATTCCTAATGCTCAATTCATTAAACAAGGAGGCCATTAGGCCATTAGACTTTTTTTTTTTTCTTTTAGAGAGAGAGAGCATGCCTATGTGTTGGGGAGGGACTGAGGAAGAGAGAGAGAGAGAATCCCAAGCAGGCCCCAGTGCAGAACCGAACTCAGGGCTCAACCCCAGGACCCTGGGATCATGAGTAGAAATCAAGAGTGGGATGTTCAACTGACCTCGAAGGCCCCAGAATGAGATGGTTCTAATGACTTAGTAGCCTATGTAAGCAAATCAAAACCTTAGCCTACAATGCCTCAAGGTTATGCATTTGAAACCTAAAACAACCAATCACCAACAGCCACCCAGGCTTTCCTAAATATGTAACAGCCTAAGATGTAGTCAAATAATTTTCTTGCTTTGCTTCTACCTCTTCTCTACAAGTCTTTCCCCTAGCTGTTGTCCATGGAGTGCTTCCAATCATTTCACATTTGGCAATGTCCATTTCCTGCTCAAATAAACTAAAATTTTTAATATGCCTCAGTTTATCTTTTAACAGTATTAGTACAGACTTGTGGTTTTTTTACAGTATGTTATAACTCATCACTGCCACCACTCTTTTGACAGTCAAGTTGTCCCTGATTTGCCCAATGAGAACTCCTTCGAGCAGCTCCTGTGTACGTATGACATGCCTTCATCACTTCCTTATTTTTTTACACAACAAAATATAGCAAACTCATCTTGAACTATCCTTGCTCTAGACCTAGAATCAGTTCTCTAAGGATCCCTGATTCCCTTTAGTAGGAACACAAAGACGTTTTTAAAAATCATGAAATTCAGGAGCACCTGGGTAGCTCACCGTTTGAGCTTCTGACTTCAGCTCAGGTCATAATCTTGCAGTTCATGAGTTTGAGACCTATGTCGGGCTCTGTGCTGACAGCTCAGAGCCTGGAGCCTGCTTCAGACTCTGTGTCCCCTTCTCTCTCTCTCTCTCCCTCCCTCTCTCTCTGCCCCTCCCCTGCTCGGTCACGCGCTCTCTCTCTCTCACTCAAAAATAAATAAACATTAAAAAATCGTGAAATTCAGTTCTGGCTAGGAACTAATGAAAAGGCACTCTCATATACTGCATGTGAAAACATAAATAGGTATATCCCTTCTAGAAAATGATTTGACAGATCTAACAAGTGCCTTTAAAATGTTCATACTCTTTGATCCAACAATTGCAATTCTATCAGTCGTGCCTAAGGAACTGATTCAAGTGCAAAGTATAGCTTAATATGTTTTTCAGTTATTCAAAACAGTAATATACAAAAAGGAAACAAATTTCCAATGAACACAAATAACATGAAAGTAATACAGTCAAATGATGGACAATTATGCAGTCATTAAAAATTATGCTAAGACTTTCTAGAGCATTCTTCATTTCATGATCAATCTTCTTGAAAAAGTTTTGTCTCCCTTTCCTCTGCTCCCATTCAAACTTCAATCCCCTATAGTATGGTTTCTATCAATCATTCTGATAGATTTATTCTTCTTAGTGCATTCAGGAGGTCCTCCTATTTGCCAAAATCATTTTCGGGCTTTGTCTTCCTTGCCTTCTCTGTAGTACCCCTCCTTTCTGGAAACTTTCCCTTTGGTTCCCACCAGTCTGGGCTGATTTTTCAACCACCTCCTAGATAATCCTTGCCATTGTCTTTTGGGGGCCACTTTTCCTCCACTTGGCTGTTAAAGATATTAAGTATTCCACAGAGACCTCGCTGAGGTAGACTTTCCTTCTTACTGTGTACTTTTAGTTTGTGACCTCATACACTCTATGGCTTCAACTATCAATAGATGCTTATTAGTTTGCTAGGGCTGCCATAACAAAATGCCACAGATTGGATGACTTAAACAAGAGAAATTTATTTCTCACAGTTCTGAAGGCTGGAAGTCCAAGATTAGGGTGCCTGCAGGGTTACTTTCTCCTGAGGCCTCTGTCCTTGGTTGCAAATAAATGGCCACCTTCTTGTAGCCTCTTGACATGTTCATCCTTCTGTGCATGCACATGTGTCCTAATTTCCTCTTCTTATAAAGACAGTAGTCCAGGGGTGCCTGGGTGGCTCAATTGGTTAAGCATCTGACTCTTTGATTTTGGCTCAGGTCATGATCTCATGGTTTGTGGGTTCAAGTCCCACACCGGGTTCCGTGCTGACAGTGCAGAGCCTGCTTGAGATTCTCTCTCTCTCTCAATCTCTCTCTCTATCCCCCCCCCCCTCAAAAATAAATAAACTTTAAAAACAGACACTGGTTAGATTGGATTAGGGTCCACCAATATAACTTCAATTAACCTTAATTACCTCTTTAAAGATCCTCTCTCCAAACACAGTCGCATTCTGAGGTACTAGGGACTAGAGCTACAATATATGAATTTGGGGGAAAGAAGGACACATACCTTAGCCCATAACAATGCTAAACAGTCTCAGATTTCTCTCTCTAGTCCAGATCCATCTCCTGAACTCCAGATGTGGCTAACTGCCTCCTTAGCATCTCTATCTCACTGTCCCACAGGCATCTCAAACTTAACAAATCTTAACTAATTACCTTGACCATCAGATCTGTGACTCTTGTCTATATCCCTTATTTGTTGAAGGGCACCCTGTCACCCAAACCCTGTGCCCATAACTCACCTTCACTGGTCTTTCTCCCATAATCTTCATGGCCAATAAATTTCAATGAAGTGAATTTCCACAAGGTAGAATGAACTGTTTGTTCTACTTCATTTTTTTTAGACCATCAAAATGAAAACATAAATGCCTTAGACTATTTGCGAGAATCCTCTGTTATCTGGATGAGTGTCTCACAACCAAATACAAATTTCATAGCCCAGGTTTCTATCTGTGTTTACAAAACAATATTAAATAGTAAAATACTCAGATTTTCTAAGGGCCAAATGAAAGGTAAATGATGTCAAGGCATGCAATATTAACAAAACAGAGGAAAATGGTGTGCTAAATAAATGAATTTTCAGATTACACCCAGAATAGGCAAGCTAAATTCAAAAGAGCAAGAATGTAAACAAACATCATCTGTTACATTTAGTAACAACTAATATTGTTAATGGGTAGTGTATTATTTTATAGTTTTGTTTTTAGTCATTTTGTTTATAAATTTGTTATTTTTAGTAGTAAAAGAGCTAGCAGCATAAGGAGCATATACCTAGATTTATGCATATACATATATGCAGTAATATAAATCAATTGTAGGGATCTACAAGAAAATACTTTCAATGAAAAAGGAGTCCCTATGTTATTGGCTTAGGAAACGCTGTTTTAGGATGCTGAGACTCCCATTCATAAATGTTACCTTGCCTCTCACCTTGGTTCTGTATAATTTCCTATATATATTCTCTCTTTTCCTCACATATGCTCAATGTATTTTATCGTGCTACATTGTATTTTGAAGGCTGCTCTAAATCCTTTTTGAAACAAGAAAAAATATACTTTTAGTAGTAGGTAAAGGATGATAATGTGATCCTGATATAAAATGAGAGTAAATTTACAATCTCAGGTGACTTTGGA